GCCGGGGGCTTTTCGGGGGCGTTTCGCTTCGTGTCCCGGGGTCCGGAGGGTGTCCCCCCCCCCCCCCCTCCCCCTCCCCCAAGGTAAAAATGACTGGGGACATTCCCCTTCGAGAATGTAGACTAAGATTTAGGAAGGTAGACGAAGACGGCGACAAGTTCAACTGTGACTGCGGCTCCGAGTGCGAAGACCATGCCGATGTCGTTGCTGAATGTCCGATGTATTCATACGAAAATGAGAGAGAAACGTACAGACTGAGCTGGGAACAGAAGGGGGGCACAGAGAGAGAGAGAGAAATATGTTTGAGGCATGGAATTAGCCAGGAGAAGACGGTAGCTATCCGGAAAGTGATAACGATAGGATAGGATAGAAAACGTTTTTGAGCCACTTTTCTTTAGGCAGGGTACGAAGGAACGATTGGCCATAGATAGGTTTTATCTCGAATGGGTAGACTATACACTACAGCAGTCTTTCTGTGTACTTTTATTTAAAACCGCAGTACGAGAGAGAGACGAACGAGAGACGAACGAGAGACGAACGAGAGACGAACGAGACGAAAGTCCTCCCGCACCTACTCCAAAAATCTTATATCTGGAGGGAATCCGGTACCTATTGCTGTTGTAGCGGCTATATGTGGAGGTGCAGTGCAACGCGATTTTTGTGGTCGATATTAAGAAAACCGGGCCCCCACCCCTCGCTGTAAGCTGTAGCGGTAGGTTCCGGAATTAATTGTTCCAGACTTCCTTCAAAAATTTCAACATTGTCAGAATTCGGACATTTTTTTTTTTCCTCCCATCATTGGATTCTGTCGTCTGCCCCTCTGGCCCCTATCCTCCACTTCTACTAGCTAGACGACCCAACCGGGGTCACATAGGAGGGGGGGGCTGGACCCCCTCCTGCGGGTCCTGCCTGAGATATTTTTATCGCGAGAAGGGTACAGCAATCCCTTCCCTCGCGACTTATGAAGTGGATCGAGTTTTCTAAAATATAACAACAGCAGTTGTTGTTGTTTCTCTCATATTTTAGCTCTATACAAAAATGGGGAGCCCAGTGTGTAGGTGTGGTTCCTCCGGCGGAGGAGGCCTCGAGCTTTTCAGACAAGTCAACCGGAAGCTCAGAGTATCAGCCGTACCCGGGAATGTCGGAGCTTTTCCCGCCCCTGCCACCGTCTCCCTTCTCTCCCTGCCTTTCTGCTTTGGGTTCTCGCATCATCAATAATAATCTCATCACCTCTCTCTCGGCCTCGTCGTGCGCGCAGACTTCCTCTTCGCGTGATCCGCCCTTCTTAGATAAAAACGCCTCATCTCTGTCGAATTACATTTTTTTTTTTCCGCACCCCTCCCATCTCACGCATCTCTCTCTTCACACGCCACGGGTGACATCACGACAGCCAAAACACGGAGAGAGCGACAGAGATCGAACAAGAAGTAGCACAAGAAAGGAGTAGCAAGTCTGTCGTGCTGGATCAATCGCATACGAAAAACCCCTAGTTGTTTTCGTCCGGCCCAGTGCGACGCAAATTTCCGGGAGGCACGCTGCGGGAGGGAGTCAGACAGGTCTGCTGTAGCTCACCCGGTACACTCTGCTAGGAAACACCAAGGCGGAGGAGAGCTGGGGGAGGGCGGACGAGCAGCTGATGGGGAATAAGGCGGCGATCCAGCTCGAACTATCGAACGGGGAAGCACCGGTCTTGCAGGGAGAGGTCATGAGCGTGAACGAAGAAGGGTGCTCTGGGTTGCCAAGTGCTGCCGCTGGTGCCTCCGATGGTAGCGGCGATGACGAAAGGGCTGACGAAAGGGCTTACGGTAGCCCGGCCGAGGCAGAGGAAGAGGGAGCAGAAGTGGAGGCTGTCACCACCCTCGCCCCGGGGGAACGTGCTGAGGAAGCCAACAATTTTTCTCGGAATAAGAGTGAGACCTCGACGAGCAACAATCAACCCTCGGCTGGGTCGCCGCGTGCCGATGCTGTTGCGGTAAGGGCTTTGGAGCATATGACGGTCGCCAACAACGACAACGACGCAGCAGCAGCAGCAGCAGCAGCAGCAGCAGCAGCAGCAGCAGCAGCAGCAGCAGCAGCAGCGGACCCGGTTCTCCCCCCTCCACCGCCGGTTCTCCCTCCTCCATCGGTTCCGCCATCCGCCGTTGCCAACGACCTTCAGCTCCCTCCTCTCAACGATCCCTCAGGGTCTGAAGAAGCGCCAAGGCTGTCCGGGCGTGGCTCTCCCAGCAGCGGTGGGGATCACAAAGGAGCACAGTGAGTTATGATGGAATGATATGCGAGGTGTAATGGCAGTCGAGGGTCATCGAATGGGGGAAGTCTGGCCTTAAGAAGCGGTACTAATGTTTTAGTGGGCTGCCTGTTGCGTCCCCTCTCGATCTTGCCATCTTGCCATTGTCTTGTTTCGTTCGGTTGGATGTATGTCTTCTTGGCACCGAAAACTTACGTTTCACCAAGGGCGGGTTTTTGCACCCGCCTGATCGTGTGCTTCTATTTTTGTATTTTCTCAAGAGCGGAGTGAAGGTCTTGATCGCCAAACACACGAGCTAGTCCAGTAGGTATTGCTTAGGCCACGGTAGTCATGGTGGTATTTCTCATGAAGCATGTGCTGAGCAGCCTGGTATTGCTATCTCCATCATCGTGCAGGGTGCATGTGTAGGGTGTGAACTCCGCATTTCTTTCGGTAGATTTAACCAAGTTTTTGCGCGCCAGGCCTGGCGCTTGCCGCACTTTTCCCGAAGCAAGGAGGTCGCTGTCGGATGCACCGCTGTTGCTACTGTGGTGTTCGACGGCTGAAAACCATACCTTCATCCCCTTAGTGCGCTGTACTAAGATTTTTTCGCAGGCGACCCCGGTATCTATCTATAACGGCACCTTTTACAATCGTACGATCCAAAGCCATCTTGAGGTCAAAGTTCTCAAACTTACCAAAGTTCTCAGTTAAATGAGGCCCGTGTATACGGGGGTAGGGGTAGACCCACTGGTTCAAATATCGGATATTGGCTGAACATTGGTGGCCTTGAAAACCGCCGGGCAGCAGTCGGTTGGTGAGTCAGTGTCCCCTGACGAAGTGCTTCGATAATCGGCATTAGATCTCATGTTGTCCTTATTACACTTACAGGCTAGCCCGGCACTTGGCACGCGTTAATCTCGCGCCTTGCAAGGTGCAAAACTCGTCTATGAATGAGGCACGCATATCTCATTTCTTCTGCTGTGAACGAAGTACTGCAGTATATGCGGTCGGATAGCACCCACGGAGTCCCCAAACCGCCGCTAGGTTTTAAAGGTTCCAGCATTTCAACTTCACCGCAATACCATTGCCATCTGCTCGCCACAGTCACCCCCAGGGCCAAAACCGATCTAAGCAACACTGATTGTGTTGAGGTTGGCCGTGGAGTGATGTTGAAACGAAGCTTCGTAGCGAAAGGCTGCACCTTGTACATGATCGATCAGATTTGGATTCTGCCGCAGGAAATGAGGCCTCTCTCAAATATGCCTCCGCTCACTCGCGGGTGACCTAACCCTAGATGTCCCGATTTTTTAGGCTGCAAAATCGATCGCGGTTTTGGGTGTGATGCGTGCGAGGTTAGAGCGCTGCAATCGATGGTTGTCGGTACAGACACGAGGGCTCCCTGTCGGGGTTGTTGCAGTGTGGGTGATTTGGTGAAAAAATGTTTCTACGCAGCAACTCGCGAAGCGGGCGTGTCGCACACTGTTCGAACAAAATCTTGTTGAAAGGTGATTTTCAGCCGAAAGTGCCTCAATAAATGTGCGGTACTAGATTCTAGACATCGTGGCCACCGGAGCGGCTGTGGTGAGTTTATCGCGATGTCTTGCATGCTTAAATGACGATGCTGGAAGCCCCAAGATTGAGGCGTGTACTGGATTGCTCAGAGGAGTTCTGCACCCTGAAGCCCGACCCTTGGAAACCATCCCCTCCCGTTCATTTAAGTGTCGTTTTGCGAAATCTCGACGGAGAGGCGTCCTTGTCGTCCAAAACCCGAGACACACGGGTACAACGAACAGTGCGGCGGAGAAAATCGCAGTTTTACGTTTCGTTTGCTCAAACTGAATCCTGTGATAAACAACGGGTGTGCGACGTCGAACTCAAAGCTACCGCCCATGGTGATTGGAAGTTATTTCTTCTGTTGCAGGCAACCGGGTACCTTGGTTGTTTTGACACATGATTGGGTAGTTGCACCCTAAGATGCGCGTTGAGGAACTTCAAGTAGACCCCTGATTGGCTCATATTTATGTGTCGGGTGCTCTTTTTTTCTCCCACGGCATATGCGCACGTTTTCCTGTTCTCCGCGTCCCGATGAGCAGCGTCGAAGTGTCGGTCTTCAAATATCAACCGGGGGTGCAAACCCCGGTGGAACAACTTCACAACTACCGGATCAGCTCTAGAGGAGGAGCCATCACGGGGAGTCTTACCCAGACGGAAGAGAGGAGGGGAGAGAACGTTAGCGGGTCGGTGGATATCGCTGCAGGTTTGTTTGTGTTCTTCGTCATTCGATGTCCTCTAGGTGCCTTTCTATCTGTTGATGGCAATACGCTCGACCGTTTGTCTCCCTTCACTCTCGGCAGTGATATTCACACCGTATTTGTTTCGCATCGTTCGCGTCTCCGTTGCCTACCTTCATCTGTGCACGCACGGGATCACAAACAAGAGTGGCTGCACGCAAAACTATTTTCTTGCACAAAGCGCTTTGCTTCGATCCCGTGCATCAATGAGTCCTCGCTCCGGCCGATTCGGCACGGCTGGCAAGCGTTTGCGTGGCGTACGACAATCACGTTTCTGGAATCCGGAACCATGGGAGAATACACCTGATGCCATATTTATGTTGCGTCCAGCTGGACTCTGATCCTGTTTTTGGGCCCAATATTTCTGGACCCGAGCCCTACAGCCTGCAATGGTGTAGAATATGAGACAGACATTTCACGTGGTGTTTGTGGCGTGTACATTGGATGTTTTTCTCGTGTAGCAGGAGATAGCAACCAAGCACATGCATTATCAGTTGTAACACCTGTGTACGGTTCCGGCGAGGTGTTCGTTCAGCGCACGAGAGTCTGTTCCTCGTGCTGTTCCTTTCTGCTGTGTGAGGCCCACACCGTCTACCAACAGAGAGAGTGGCATTGCACTTGCCCACATGTTATTGGTGCTTGGGGTTGTTTGCATTTTTCGTTGGGTACCATCTCGATGAGCCGGTCGCCCCGGTAGTCTAGTTGGTATCCTCGAAAAGCCACTAGTGGCCAGGGCCAGGGGTTCGAATCCCGGCGTAAGCAAGATTTTCTTGCAAAGTGAGTTTTTCTCTCGCTTCCGTTCCTGACCTGGGTGTAAATCGCTAGTTCGTGTGTACACAGAGGGAATAGAGTGCTGCACTCTTCTCGCATTAATTCTCGAAGGAAAGTACCCCAAGAGGGGTGGGTAGGGGCGTAAGGGAGAGGAGCCCTTCTGTGTGACCGTAGGTTGGAGTAAATGGCACAAGTGCTGTGGGCGCTGAATTGAAGTGAAGTATGAATCACGTTCTTCGGTTCGTGATGCCGTTGCTACGAATTTAAGGCTTTCCTTCGAGACCGGAAGACACACCGTGCTCCTAGATTTCGGTCACGGCTTCGACACAAGTCAAAGGTTCTTCTGTTGGTCCGACCCAAATATTTTTCTTGGCGTGCGCCAATCCCTTGACTTCTCAGAGTACGAAAAGCGAAAGGGCTCGCAAGTGGTGCGGCACCACATCAAGGACCACCGTGCCAAGCAGCTGTTGGTTGTACCCAATGACGACAAGTTCGTTGCTGTGGCGGCGCCGGAGGCGTTCTCGCGACACTCAGGGACGTGTATGATTCTCGGTGGACAGGTACGCTCTTGTCTTCCAGGAGCTTGTGATACGATGGCAATGACGGCTTGGACAGATCTAAACCTGCAAAGCTTTTCGACGCGGGTGTGTAATTCGGTGTGTCTTGGCTTGAACTGGGCGGAGCCAATTTTTGGTGGAACATCCTCGAATAACCTGTGTCGTCTGACATTCACCTTTAGCACTCTATGCCACAAACAGACGCGGGTTTCTTTGGCAAGGACGCGTTTCCCAAGTGTTGAGTAGTTGTAGTACGCACACCACTGCACCATGGTACATTGGAGCGAATTCAGTCCCGCTTTTGCTGTCCCGCGCGGCTCACAATCCAAGTTATACCTTGACGGTTTACTTTTCGTGCCCCTGTTGAAAGTTTCAGCAGATTGCCAAAAAATCCAGAACGACGTTTCGAACACGTCGCTTGTCCCTAAGTACCAATGTTACGATGGTATGATTGTGGGTTTGGTTTTGACAGGGATAAGGTGGCGTATACATATGCATATGTCGGGCTGAAAGCGACTCGTGATGAAAGTCTTAAAACTCTTGTGCCCGATCAAACTACACCTTTCACGTTATTTGTTGAGGTACCGATGCCGACAGCTCATGGTTCCCTTTTTTTATTCATGTCGTGACAACACCCCCTCATGGAGTATGTATGCACTACCGATACATGGGCGAAGAACTAAAGCAAGGGTGCATTCTGGTAAGGCAGAAGAGCTACAAGTACTAAATGTTCATCACGAAATGGATTCCAGCCCCGACTCCCGACATGTCACACACCTTTCCCTTGTCAAAACAACAATCCGCATATAATGCGATCATAACATCGCGTTACACACAACGGAGAAAAAAAAGCACCCTTCCACCTCTTACACATGACCTCATTTTCTGCTCTGCTCAGGGCGCTTATGGGAATGGCACCTCCAAATCTTACGAGCTCAAGCTGGGGAACTTTTTGCGGATTGGCTCCGTTGGCGTGGTCGTAAGCGAGATCCACACGGGCGCTGGTGGAGAGCACAAGTGTTTGTCGTGGGAGGAGCTCACGTGTCTCAAGGGGGACATCGCTGCAATTCAAAAGGCATGCGAGACGGCTTGTAGTTCCTTGTGCTGTGTTCACCTTTTCCCTCAATTGGAATTAGCCTTGCCTTTCTGCACCTGGATCGGCGTGCATGTTGCTGTTTGTACTCTGCCCGGCAAAAGCCGCTACGGGTCACGTGTTTACCCGCGCGTGGCTGACTTCGTTGGAACTCATTGAGGTGTATCATAGTGGTCCTTGCTTGCATGTCCTTGACGAAAGCTATCCATTTTTCTTCCAGGACCTCGTGACTATCGAAGCGCTCACGGCTCAGGAGGAGAATGCCGAGGCGGACAAGTTGACCGGGGTGCTGCAAAACGGGGGTGGGGGCGTAGTGAACACAAGGATGTGCTATATGTGCTTCGACGATGTCGACGAACCCGGCAACCCTCTGGTGAGCGGCAACCACCACTAAACCTTTTCAGGCTAAAACCGATGTTAGGAAACACTCGTTGCCCCTTGTTGCCTAACCCCCCTTTACCACCTGCCGAGCTTAGAGACTCGAGCGGTATCACAGTGGCACGCAAGACCTAGGGATCTAGAGGATGGATGTTGTGATGGGCAGCTTTCAGTTTGAACCGTAGGGGAAGTCTGACGAGATGGGATGGCCAAGGAATTGGGACAAGCTCACTTTTGATGTAATTGTCCACGCGGAATTGCGAACAACGTTCAGACGTACTTTTTCCCGTGGTCGTTCAAGAGGGGCAACGTCCATGTTCGTGTGTGGTTCGTTGCGTCTTTGAATTGACGAAAATACCTCCACGTTTCGCTTTGTACATGACATGTGACGTTGGCCACAGGTCGCACCTTGCGAGTGCAAAGGCGACACACGGTACGTCCACCTCAACTGTCTCCAGAAGTGGCACACCACCACCTCCGAGAACAAGGTGGGCATTCGCTCCCCCCCTCCCTCGCGCTGGAGCTTTGTGTATTGGCACATCCCATGGTGCCTGGTAGCGAAGCGCACAGCACGTAAGACCTAGTTGTACGTGATCGGCGCTGGATGTACCTGCGTTATTGCGAACTGCCTTCTTGCCGCTCCAGATCTCTGGTGTTCCTGCTGTTCTTTGTAATTTGTTGGTTCGAACACTGCGCGTCGACAAGACTGGCGTTGGTCAAGACCATGTGGGCAGAAGTATGCAAAGACGTCTTGGTTCCTACCCTTGGCTGGCCTGATAGTTCGCATGAACCAACGTCGTTGTGTATATATGAAGAGCACATGGTTTGCCCGTGGATACACTGGGGCTAACATCTAATGTTTGTAGTAATGGCGCGTGGCATATTTCTCCCCCAAACCAGGTGTGCGTTGTTCTCAACAACAAGGGGGTGCGAGTTTGCACCGTTTGCAAATCGCCATACAAGGCTAGCGTGCGACTGCCGGGAGGTGAAAGCATCTCGTTGTTCCAGAGTCCCCTCCCGCCTCCATACATCTGTTTCATGGTGGTGACACGTCATCAGAACAACGAGGTGAGACTATCACAACGTGCTCAGCACTCTCCGCTGAACGACCGCTTGTTCGGTGATGCCGTTGGGTTTGGGCTGGTTCTGCTCTTAAGGTTCCTTTATCACCGACACTAATTTGGAAACTGGTACCCCGCCTGTCTGCACGTTTCCCAGGAGCTGTTCAGCACAAAATACCAGTTGAGCTTCAACAGCGTCATGAACCGCGGAGGCACTGCAAGCACCAAAGAGCTGGTCGTCGGCCGATCCAGGCAATGCGATATGGTTCTCGACTACAGGTGAATACGGTTCTGTCGCGCTGGTGTAACGTGAAACACGCTGTCCCACGTAGCGGAGCGAAGTAGGTTTGCGCTGAGTTATGCATACGAAGACAGGTATCTCTCTCAACGGGTAGGATGAAAAAAAAAGATTCGTTGTTTTTGAGGGTACGGATTAATTGCAGACAAGATGATGACCCTAGCGAACACCACTGTCGTCCCCTTTCTTCTCTCTATACCAGGACCGTATCGACTCGGCATGCGAACGTCAGATTCCAGGGTGGGAGGTTCTACTTTTCGGATCTGATGAGCAGCAACGGAAGCTACCTGTAAGCAAGCGTCAAACGTGTTCAACGATGCACCCAGAAGCTCTCACTGCACATGCGGTCAGATTCGTTATGTATCGCCGTACCCCTATTGTCGGCCCCACCGGGATTTGGCCAACCCTTCTGCAGGCATGCATGAGTAGCTTTCTTTCACTGGATATGTATGGGGCCGATCATATTGGTGTGGCTCATGTTTTAACCGTTTGCGTTCGATTCCTGCTCACATCGCAGGTACCTGCGCGAACCCCTGCAACTGCCTTACGGCGAGACTGTGTTCCTCAAGTGGGGATCCAACGTCGTGTCGTTGAAGGCAAAGCGGTCGTCTATCCGCCACCGCTTGAGCAGCCTTGTCGGGCGGCGAGCTACGGTAAGTCCGGCTTCGTGCTGAAATGTGTCTGTACCAAACCATTTGGTGCAATGGGATACTTGATCTGAGATTTGTGAAACGTGGCTGCCTCTTTGGTGTGTGCGCGCCGTGTCGACCTAAATTTTGATTTTTTATCTGTTGCGAAGCGCATATGGACGTCTTGTGAAATAGACTTACGCGATATTCAGCCCAGCTTTGGCAAGTTGTAGGGACCTGCAGCATACGATATAGAAATATGTAGTGGAAACACCGCCTCCAAATTTGATCAAACACGTTTGCTCGGACCTCCTTCGGGGGGTTGGTATTGGGTTACTTTGCACGAATAGCGTCGTAAAACGTTTATTTTACACTACTGTAGATATGAATCCCCCGTTGCACACCTTTTGACCGTTTGGGATACACCTGGCTTCATGGACAATGCAGGTGACCAATAAAAAGGACAATCCGGAGCAAGAGTTCACGATGCTCGAAAGCTTGTGCGAGCTTGGGAACTCTCCCTCAACCGATGGTGCGGCAGATGGCGGTGTCAAAGCTGCGGTGGCCCGGGATGGGGGGGGTCCTTCGTTGTAGGCGGCAAGGGCAACAGATCACGCTGTGTCTCGCACACGCTTGGCTGTAAAGTGTTTTGGACCCCCTTTTCTTTTGCGGCTGGGTGCGTTGAGCTGTGTTCGTTCTTGATCCACCGTAGAGAATTGGCGGCCGGTTCTTGGTTGTACCACTGTTGACCATGAGGTACGATTTAGAGGCCCCGAGGTCTGTAGTCACCAGGCGGGAGGGCTGGATTTCTCGGCAAGCCAGGTGCTATCTGTTTAAAAGAGAAAAACGTGTTTCGTGTCCTTCACTAGATCGCTCATTGTCGGGTGTGAAGTGCTCAATGCCCAAAGGGATGTTACTCAGAAAATGTGAACTCTATTTAAATGACCTACCTGTGTGAGGCACATCGTCCTTCTTGTATTGGATCAAGAGGTTCCAAAATCCAGGGTTTTGTTCAGTTGCGTGTCAGGGTGTACCCCGGTTTCATTCTGAACGGATGACTCCTGGCCGCTTGTTTCTTCGAGGACACTGATGAGGTTGGTGGTCCTATGGGTTTATCTTCGTACGTACACCGACGATGACGTGTTTCGAGTCATCTGGTGGATAAGGCACGTTAAACACCAAGCTTGTGGCACATGTCCTCCTCTTTGTAACAGACCCCCGTTGTGCACCAAGCATGAATACAGTGTTGAAATTGTGGAGCTACATTTTTTGGATGCATAGGCTACATGCCCAAGCTGACGGCCGTAACGTAGAACGCTGCAAGCAAGATTCGGGGGTACAGTAGTACTCGTCTACATCAGCGTCATTCAAGGCATGTGCGTCGGTCGTCAGGCAGGATCGGCACACGAACCAACACTCTAAAAACACCAGCAGGTGCTTCGTCAGGTTAATGAAAGTGCGATGTGCCTTCCTACATCAATCCCATGGACAATAAATAGCTTGGGAGAACTTCGCTTCTGTAGACTTGGCCGCTGTAGTTTCATACCAGGTACACGACGAAGGTCAAGACGAGTAAAAGTAGAGGTGAGGCGCTCCACTCCGCGGGGTCCAACAGTGCGACACGCAGCGAGCGGTATTTTAGGAGCATCGATATATTCCGTCTGATCTGCAGTGTACTGCGGAGGTTGCACACCAACACCGCGCAACCAAAACATGGCTGTGTAGCAACACATTCGGAGATAAAAACATGCATGGCATCAACAAGGGCTAACTACTGCTGGCTCGACCCTGATCCAATGGCCTGTAGACTGATGACGATACTGCAAGCAGACAAGCTCCAGAACTACATGTTATCTACACACGTATAGATATAGCTGTGCTGAAAATGATTTATGATGGGGGAGACCTGTATCTTCCGCCGAAAAAAAAAAAAGTACCGAATCCGTAACGGAAGAGAGAAACCAAAACAGGAGGCACGGAGGCAGGCACGTATGCACACGGGCGACCGACACGTGCGGCAAAGCCGACGGCAAAGCCGAAAGCCCCACGCTGCAGAGGACATGCCGTCATGAAGCATGGAGTGCTTCAGTTTCTCTCGCCGTGGGCTGGAGTGGCCGTGGCATTGACGTCCCTCCTTTGGGGAGTATGCGGTGCAATCGCGAGCAACGGGCGGGACGGTCAGTAATCCTGTTGTACGCTGTAGCTCTGCATGCGGCTAGCGTGACACCTGGGTGTGGCATGGTAGGACTCGACGCTATCACACACATGCACCGCATTTCTCGCATACACGTTGGATATTTTCGCCCATTTGGATACGCGTATGCATATCACAAGCAGTATTCTTCATTTCACCGCAGTGAATCAATCGCCAAGACTACAGCTACAGCTACGGCAGTAGAGGTTGTTGCCCTCGGGAGACGTACCCGGTTAATACATGTGATAGCACTTCCGTTGTACTGCGTTGTTGTCGCACTGGACTTAGCAGATCTGTCATCGTCTAGACTTCATCCATCGCTTGTTGGATTGTTACACTCGCTGCTGTGAAAAGTTGTGGTCTAAAGTACGGGTGCATAAGCACATTAGTCTAGGAAACAAACAAACACAGAAAATGTTGATTTATCATCATATGCATACTGCTGTACAGGGCTCATGTGGAGCTCCCGGCCTCTAACCGCCTGTCGCCTGGAGGAGTCTGGAGTATGGGTTGACGTCCCGGACACCCAACTTGAGCTTGTTCTGGAAAGCGAAGTAACATCCTTGATATCCTATAGCATTGTCGTTGTTGCGGCGAAGCCCCAGCTTCCTGGTTCGTCTTTTCTTGGAGAACAGCGTAGCAGCGGTGGGAGCAAGGATTTCCTTCAGGTACTGTACGAGGAGCAAGGGTTTGCACCATGTACTGAACTACTTCGAAGTAGCAATAGGAGCTCTAATCCACCAGCCACTGGCCGGACGACCGCAAGTCTTGATTGCCGCGTGATACCGTCTGAGCTTGAGGAAAATAGAGCGAAATGCTCTACTAGTAGGCACACCAACGTGTTACGGTGTCTGTCGTCAGGAAGTGTTCAACTCTGCAGAATTTCTAACTAATAATGAATATTTACTCCGTATTGTTGCGCCTGTACCTCTGCAGGTGTTGTTGGGTGTACTACTAGGTCTTTGGCGTGGTGCTGTCGCAGATTTATTGCTGTTATTTTGCGAAGAACACGTAACTACCTTATTATGTAAATAACATGCATCTTGATGTGGCCCTTAAGCAACTGTTTCGGCCATCGGTGTGTGTCTTAGGATTATGCACCATGTACAAGGCAATGTTGGTTCCACGTTTCTTCGCATGCCAACCATATTCATTGGCCATATGTGGATTCCGGGTCTCAACTCCATACATTACACCCTACACTCGTTGACTGGTGCTTCCAGATGCGATTGGTTGTTAATGGGCTACCAATGCGGCAATCGGCAGCATTCACATCCCCTGCTGGTCCATACGAGTCGTACGTTGATACGCTTGGCGGCCACCTATCGATGGAGTTTGGGCAAGGGAATCACTCGGTTGGGCTACAATGGAAAAAGTCTTCTGGAGGGATTGTCACCAGTTGGAGCAATCGACCAAGCTCCCACGACGGGTTTGCCGGCGGAAGGTCCATTGTAGTATCGGCTCAAGTGAGTACCTCTTCTCCTTGCCATGAATGGGAGTATACCTACAGCAGTTCCAGTGGTGTAGCCATAGGGCAGAAACCAAGAGTTATTCGTTTAATAAGAGCTCGCTTGCTCAATGTCATCATTTTGCACGAGTAAAACCGATCGGTTCTGCTTCGAGGACTGAACTTATTTTTGACTGACTCTTTGTCGCATGTAGTTAAGATGGAGGGTACTTGTCACCACATGTCTCGGGCAACGCAGACCAAACAAGCACCGGGGTCGCCAAGGCATAGCGTGGCGGGTTTGCTGTCCTTCTCAATGACGACACCAATAAATCGCGTTACATCTCCATCTCCAGCCAACGACTCATGACGAGCACCAATGCTTGTTTCCCTTCGTTCTTTCTGCTGACCAGCACCGCTACATGTGGTACTCAGCGGAGAGCAACGATGATGTGCAAATAGACCAAACGGGGACATGGAACGAAATACCTGGGTTGAGACTCCAACTCGAGTTACCTGAGCCCGCCAGTATCCGGGTCCTGTACTCAATGTCAGTCATGCCGGATCAAAACTTCGACAGCGACGGTGAGACCTGGGGAAAACGTAATCACTTGGCCGAACGGAGCCATGCAAGCAACGCGATGTCGGTGTAACTAACTCAGCGCTTCCAAATTTCATCAGGTTGTTAGGTTGATCCTAGCTTGAGCTTCTATAGGTTTTACCCAATGTCCAGTGGCCTCTCAGCCTGAAGATATACCCCCGTTCCAATTATTTTTTGTAATTTTCAGCAAGTCACCCTGCGGAAGATCTGTCAGCACGTCTGGTAGTGGATGGGGTACCATATCGCGAGTCGGTTGGCTCCTACGCTTTGCTAACCCGGCACGCGAAAAGCGGCATGCTCGAAAGAGACATTGTTCTGAGCCTCCAGGTATGAACCGCGTCAACATTGGTTGTTGCGACATGATCGCACGTCGGTATTCTGGTGTGGTGTGGAAACGACCTCTTGTAGGAGTTTTTGTTGTTCAAATCTTCGCACCACTACGTCTGCGTTCAAGCCGGCTCAAAAGAAGGCTTGAGAACTGGAGGGAAGCTCGAAGTGATGTATCCATCTCGGGATGGTTTGTCAAGAGTTCGTTCCGTACACCTGCGATAAACGCCGATAGTGTCGTTTTCGGAGGTACAACCCCACTTTCACGCGATCCGTCCCCCCTGGCTGCGCAGGCCGGCGAGCACACCATGGTGGTAGAATGGCGCAAGTGGGGCTCGTACATTCGAGCTTGGAGAAACTCGCCCTCCTTCTTGGACGGGTTCGCCATGTCGCGCTTCGTCGTTGCTATGGGAGAGCGCTTCGACGTGGTGTCACAAAATTTCCTCACTCCGGTTGTCCTCAAAGACCCTCTGAACGAATGGCACACGGTAGGAGGAAAACAGCTCGAGTTCTATCTTCATGGCCCAGCCACCGCACTCTTCACTTATGGACTGCCCGTCACGCAGGTCAGTAGCATCGAACAAGCCCAAACACAGGAGTGTCTTTTGTTCAGCCTTTTATGCAATGGTGGGACGCACCTTTCTCCGAGCAGGGTACAAATTAGCAATGTCGTGGTTTATCAGCGACAAGAGTGGTTTCAGCAAGGATGTGTTGGGATAAGGAAATGTGAGGTGTACGTATATTGTACTACCACCGAATGACGATCTGAGACCAAGACTGATTCACGTTTTGTTGACCCTCTGCAACTGACCACATTTCACCTGAACTCTTGTATATCTGACAGTATGGCCATCCAACCTTTGACTCTTGGTCGTGGGAACGCTGGAGCTCTATCCAAGCGCGATTGCTGGTCGATGGGGTGCCGTACAGGTAAGAACGGGCGCATGATAATTACTGCCACGTGTCTCCAGCGAGTTGATAGCGTGCCCGTGATGTAGTCATGTATGTTCTTACAGATGGGCCCCGTGACAATGAGCAATGTGTTTTATGTTGCGAAAAAAGGCTCACATTTCGTGGGAGATGAGAACATGGGGTGAAGAAAGACAGTCCAATCTGGGCATCAAGACAAGAACATCCCAGTTGAGAAGCAGGAGCCAGGACGCCCTAAGAAAAAATAAAATTGAATCGACGGGAGTGTGTCCAATAAGAAACTTGCCCATGTCACTACTGTACCCATCCCCGCCACCCCGAAGTACGTGCGTTTACTTTTTCTGTGGGCGCGGTGTTTTTGCACCCCTCCCCCTTCCTGCTCCTCGCCGGCGTTTGCCATCGGGGGTGGGTTTTCGTCGCTTGGCAGTGATGTTGTACAACAAGTCGATCACTTCGTGAGCTCGGCAACCAGGTTACCGGGTTTTTTTTGCCTTTCTTTTTTTTGCCTTTTTTTTTTTTTGCGGTAACCATGGATGGTGGTCGAGTAGATTATGTTGTGCGGGGTGGAGAACCCTCACTGTGCACAAAGGGGATAATCGCACGTTGTGTTAAAATGGTCAAGCTTCCTCGAGGCAGTTACACAGTGCTTACAACTGTCTCTGGAAGTGAAAGCACCAGAAAATAAATTAAGTCATACGCAGCTGTCATCCGTACGCAAGGAAGTAAGCACAAGACGCCGAACACCCTTAGTAGGATGCAGCACACCCTTCATGCGAATTGCCGAATACCTCACGGTGCTTCGCGCTTGGTGATGTGAGAGCCTGGTCCGGTGAGAACCCGGCGTGCTCCTCCCGGCTTTGTAGGGATGCGAGGTCAATGATCTAACGACTACGGCATGCACGACTATGAGTACACCCCCCCCCCCCTTCCCGCGCACGTCGCGGACCACACGGCTGTCTGCTGAATGAGATTGACAACTAGAGGTTGATACGTTTGACCGAAACAACCAAGAAAATTCAAAGACCGAGAACATTCCGTTGATCGTTTCAACTAGAGCAGGTGGCTTTTCGTCCCAACATGAGAGATTAAGCCTCGACCCGATACTGACGGTTCCTGTGTTCGGGCCCCATCGTAGTTCTGCACTCGATCATCCGCGGTAGATTGCAGCTGACAGGAGGAAGGTTTGCGTCTGCAGAGTATGCTGAATCTACCCCCGCGCTCTTTTGGTGTTGTCCGGGTGCCTGTGTGCTTAACCAAATCTGCGACACTGTGGCACACGTAGTCCTGATTGACAAACGAAAACTTGTCATTACTTGACCCTGTCAAAACAGGAGTAGCTAAATACACCACTTATCAGGCCAACACTGCTGCATCCACTTTTGCAGGAACACCGTTACATGTGGTGTGAGTTTCGTTTCCAGGTTTTCGTTTCCAAAATTATTATATCGAGCGGATCCTATGACAGCAGCAACTGGTCAGCTTTGAGCGTGCCATGTTTCGACATATGCGCAGGCATTCTGCGAGCCAGCGAGATGGGTCACAGCGAGCGGTTGGCGAACTTCGAGGTTTGCTTGTCGTGAGTTTGGCTTCTGGTAGCCACACCGCGGCGCTTCAGTGGAAAGCTGACAGTACCCACGGATCGGTCCCGTGGTACGTGCTGAACGGCGTCGGCGGTTTTTTTCAGGTGAGTTTCAGTGAATTTCGAGTGTGAAACTTGGCAAAAGGCAAGTCAGCATGTGTTGCACGACCGCGAGCCGCCTCGTTTGCTTCTCCCATTCATTTAGACGTCGTGAGTTGTTTCACGGCCCGCTAGCTGCAATCGTATTCTTGGCGTGGTTGTTATCATGGAAATGTATAGGTATCTTATGAGTTACGCATCCGACACCCTATGAGCTGCACCGACGCCCGGCTATGTTTCAAAGAAGTCTTGTAGGGGCTGTAGCTGTCATAAGTCGTTGCTAAACGAAAAAACACGCCTGTTTTTTCTCCCCATTGCTGAAGGGAGGAGAGGAGCTCTTGGTTCTGGTGAACGCTGAGAATAACCAGCCGGAAGTTATTTTGCCGTCGGGCCCTTTCAGTGTCAACGAGGACGAAGAGACATATATCTCTGGCGCACGCGTTTCAGATGTCGATATGGAAGTTTCGGCCAACTACGAGCTTGCCGTTCGATTGTCGGTCGAGCAAGGGGTTGTGTCCCTCAATGGCACTGATGGACTCGGTTTCAGCGTTGGCGACGGCGTTGAGGATGAGCTCGTATACTTTCACGGGTCCGCTGCCAACGTCGGTAATGCTTTGGGAAGCATATCATACCGAGGGCACTTCAACTGGTGGGTGCTGTGGGCTCGTTATGTTTACGACACAAAAGCGTCGGTGGATCTCGGAGTTCCCCCTTGGCACGTTCCAGATTACTGTACGACACACGTTTATGCATCCCCCTTGCAACAGAAACCACGCGCGGCCCGCAGTATCCGACACGCTGGCGCTTGGTATGAACCATGACAAAAACGTTCTATGACGTTGTCTGTGTGGATTGCTATTGCCACCATTGGCTCAATTACAGGTACGGGAATGATACGCTGACTCTGACAGTGAATGACCAGATGTATCTTGGGGCAGGAGAAGCCAAATCCGATACAAAGCAGGTACGTCGAGTACATCGTAGAGCGCTCGACCTGACCTAGTTGATGGCAACACGGTGATAAGCTACACCACGCTGTCGTATGGGACCAGGTTCCGGTTTGTGGACGTTAAACACACGTTTCAATCGGTACAATCAAGTGTACTGGGTACTGTACTTCGAGCGGCGGAATCAAGAACTGGAGGCCGCAGAACGGCACAAACCTCCTTAGCATTGACCAGGTTGGAAGGGACTTCGGAACCACATGATTTCAGCGTTTAGGCGACACACTGCCACGAGAAAGCGTGCGCTCAAAGATCCCTCAACACGCGTTCACACAGGTCATCATTACTGTGGTGTCAGTCCCAGATGCTCCTGAGATTGTGATTCCCACGAGCCCTGTCGTCGAGGAAGACGGTGAGCTCATCCTCAGTGGTTTAGGCATGTACGACGCTGACGTGTCCAGACCTGGTGACGAAGGGCTGCTCTTCGACGTTTGGCTTGAGGCTGTCTCTGGGCGGCTCTCGTTGAATGGAACATCGGTGAGGGTTTCAAGAGAGACGTCTGCAGTTGCCACAAGCGCTTCCATACTTGTAATTCATCGTTACATTTGTTCATCCCATCGGGGTATCAGGCACATGGATAGCCAGAAGTTAAATATCAGATTGTGTACCTCAAACGGGATATCGACGGTGATGCGTTTCAGCCAGTCCGATTATTTTTATGCATGTTAGTACAACGACGCATGCTGGCCGAGAGAGAACGTGCTATGTGCAGCACTGACCCACTTCTTTTGAACGCTTGCATCGATGCCGCCCCGGGTGTGCAAAAGGGGCTGATGTTCACCACAGGACAGGGGATTTCCGATCGCTTCGTGTACTTCACGGGCACTCTTACGGGTATCAACGAAGCCGTTGGTCTGCTCACATATGTACCAGATGAAAACTTCAACAGCCATCAGCACGCAGAGCTCTTGACGGTCTCGGTATGGCAAGTAGGATCCAGCGAAGTCAAGGTGCGATTTCGCGGACACCCAACAAGCACCAGCAGTATCGCACGAGCATTTCTTGGTCCATTGGCTACATGTCGTTGAGCAGAAAAAGATGTTCTACTTCTCATCGACTCGCCACCCCGCCTATGAAATGTGGATCGAAGGCTTGCCGAGCTTCGCGGACTCACTCCGCTCTTTGTAGGCCTGCGTGGCACGGTCCCTTGCGTTGTATCTTGACCCTTGCCACCTTTGGCAACATGCTCTCGTTTGAGTCCCCACGCTCTAACCGAGGTCGCCAGGCGGCAGTTGCCTGCTACCTGATCTCTATGCCCGTCTTGGCTTCATCGCCCTGATGCTTGGCACCCTGCATGGTAGAACACGTCAGACCATGCTTCTTCTAGCATTCCTGCGCCTGCTACCCAATGGTTCGCTCTCCTTTGGTGCCCTACTACCCAACGAAGGTCGTCGGTGTTCTACCTGTTACGGTGGATGCGGTCAATGACTCCCCAAAAGTAGTCACCCCGCATCATCACGTGATGAAGCTTGGTGCGTTTGGGATCTGGAATCAATTCCTCCAGACTCAGACAGGAATATCGGCGACCACAGGCAACCTAACGGTTGGAATATTGACCGATACAGCATCCGGGCAAATCATGCTCCATGGGATTGACACCGAGAGTGTATCCCTCCAGGTGAAGTTGTTTCCCATAACTGTTCCACATTTGCAGTGCTAGGCCGAAAATGGCGGCGTTGGAACCGTCTCGTCGAGAGCTTTCCGAAAACGTATCATTTGATTTTGGCATTCTCTTCGTCGCGGGGTGATCGGGCTACAGTATACGAATCGGTCCAGGAGGTGTGGTATCTTATGCAACCTACGGTATGTCCCAACCCCGACTCGACGCGTGGCCATCAGCGCTGGTGTGAAACGGTTCAAAAAGCGCTCATTTGTTGTCGTTCGAATTGCTTCGTCATTATCGGTTTCTAGATCACCAGGGATAAAGAGAGGGAATGGGGTAGGAGCCAGCGCTAGAAATACTCAAACCTCGCGCCTGAACCCCCTCAACAGTCTCACTCTCTCTCTGCTCACAAGTCAGTTGTGTCCAGCCGAGGCAATCCAAGTACCCCTACTGCACGCAGGGGTCAGTCTGGAATCACCAAGTATCTAAATGGTACTCGAGCATTCAACTACACCCCACCCCACGGATAATACTAGAACCAACCAAAGGAAACATAGATTTCGTACCATTTTCCGGTTCTCCACCTTCGAAAGAAAAGGAATGGGTGGGCGGGAAACGACACTACTTTTTTTTTGCCACCTGTCTATGTTGGCCAGCGCCTCATATGCTGTGTAATCCTCTCTCTCGCTTTCAAGCATAACGACTTGCGACTACGAGATACTTTCTCTCCCCATTAGTATCCAGAAGGGGTACGCGAGATCTGTTCGTGACCCCGGTTCTCCAAAATGATGCTTTTTTTAACCCTTTCGGTTACAACGCCAGGTTAATCCGTCTTCCGAGAAAAAAGTTAGCTTTTTTCGTTTGCCCACATATCAACTTTAGAATGTCACTGAGGGAAAGAGAGTGTTGGACGCTTGTCGCCATAGATTTGGACTTCAGCACCGCAGAGCAGTCTTCTGTGTGGTTCGCCAAATTTTCCTGAATAGTGTCATCCCAGGCTCGAGTGAGTATGAAAAACAATGAAAGAAGATATGAAACGGCTACATATCGTGGTTTCGTTGTGGGAATATATGCGGCACCACGCACGAGGAACAATTCAAGACATGCAGTTGCGAAGGACCGGACTACAATGTGACACTTGTATGGAAGGATTGCTTCGCGCATGAATGATGATGTAGACGACCTGATCAACAGTGGCTGCGTTGCGATGTTTAAATTGAATGGCCCCAGGTGGTGGATGGGGCGACGTATGGGATGGAGATCGTGTTGACCGGAAGTGCAGAGGACCTGACGTCAGAGCTGGCGCAGGCAGAGTTGATGTACACCAGAAGCCCAGGTTATGACGGCCCACACGCTTTTCAGGTGCTGTGCTCTCTGTCCAGTGTTCCGGCGTCTCTGTGTTGCCAGTTTCCCGGCAATTGGTACAACTATGAGTGACCGCGCAAGGCTGTGCCTCGTTGCGTCATTCTTCCCAATTAGCAGTTGTGTGTATTGATGCTGCTGTGTTATTCTGCTGACTATCGATCTGAAGCTGCTCTTCATCAGTACGGCGTGAGATTCCGTGACACAGTTGGCATGACAAAACCCTTGCAGGCACAGGTTGCATGCAGCATCCCTATCGATGTAGACGTCAACGATAGAATTACCACGTGTAAAGCGTGGGTTGTTTTTCTCGACTAATCTCGTGCGTCACAGGTCAGCGTTGGGGATGGAAGCCTTGCAGGAATCGAGCGGTCTGTTTTCGAGGTTAGCTTATACCGCATGGGAGACCCAGATGCCACGATGCCGTCTCCAAGAATCATCTCGGTAGAGCCCAATCAGATAAGCCCCGAAGGTCGCGACACGGTTTCGATTTTTGGTACTTTTTTCGATACGTTCCCTGATCCTTCGGCCACGGTTTACGTGCAATTTGGGTCCAGCGAACCAGTGGTTGGTGACGTGGTGGATAGTACCGAAATTGTTTGTACGGCACCACCGACAACCTCCAGCAGTACCTATTCGGAGGGTGTTCAAGGCTACTTTGTGTTCGTAAAGCTCACAGACCTCGTGAACTTCTGGAGCAATGCTGTCCCACTTTTCGTCGAGACTCAGCCGGACGTCTTGTCAATATGGCCAGATGCTGGTCCCGCTTGCGGAGGGACCAGCGTGTCGGTTATCGGACGAAATTTTCTCCCGTCAGAGTCTTTGATGTGCGTGTTTGGCGATGGCAATGGCAACGCGTCAACTCTGGCCAGTTGGCGTTCTTCTGACCTCCTGGAGTGTGTTTCACCATCATGGGCATTGCCGCATGGAGAAGACGGCGTCATCGTCCCGTTCGTTGTGAGCACGAGCAGGGAGTACGGCCAGCAATCCGTCGCTTCCTTCCGCTTCGTGGCCTCCATTGCTGTTGAGAGCGTTTCGCCCGAAACGGGTTCAGCAGAAAGCTGGACAAACGTTACGATTTCCGGCGCACATCTCAACGGCTACGATCTTACTTGCATCATCGGGGGCCATGAAGTAGTACCCGCAGTTCAAGAGGATGCCTATCTTCAATGTACAGTACCACCCCGTGGAACTCCACTTGAGCGCACCTTCAGAATAACGGTAGCATCAAAGATCGGTGCTCCTGGGATCGAGCACTCCGATCGATACGAGGTGGTTGACGCCGACCTCGCGACTGTGAGCGAGACTTTGGATTCCATCAGCCAGGTCCAGCTAGGGCTTGGCCCGGGGACTGTCGTTCTTCCGCTTGTGCGTGGTCACCAGTATTGGCTGGATCAAAGCGATGCATCTAATTTTGGACATCCGATAGCGTTTTCGTCCGACCCGAGAGGGGTCCACGGTTCCGGTGGAAAAGCTTGGACCAAGGGTGTGCAGCGGCTTGCTTTGTCTATGGGAACACATGCCGGTAGCGCCGTTGGTACAAACGGGACAGGAGCGGGCGTGGTGAACTTCCTCGTGCCAATGGATGCCCCAGATGTCCTCTACATGTACTCGGAAGCATCCCCTGGGCTGGAGCACGGCATCGCTGCGATCGTTACTGACCATGTTGAACACACATTTTTCAGGGTTGTTGCAACCCATGGGTCTGCCTGCGATTCCGCCGCTCACCCTTTCAGGTAGGATCATGGTCGAGGATATTCGCAAGTAGAATACAGTTCAGGCAGTTGATTGAGATTGTGTGCCTATCGGTGTACCGAATGCTATAGGAGACTAAAGCGAATGTATCCGAAGTGGACGCGGCCCTCAATTTTGACGCTTCAGGGCAACAACCTGAAACTGTATGCCGAGAACAAACGACAATTTTTGCCAAGTTGAGTTCGCGTTATTAACACTTCGCATGCAATCGATCCGGCAGGTACCATTCCGTTTCCATCGAGAACGCAGTTTCAATGGCGAAAGATACACGCGTAGTGCTGGCGGGGCGGGGTTTCGTCAATAGCACTCGGTTGGCATGCAAGATCGGCGACGCCGATCCGGTTTCGGCATTTTTTTCGTCTTCGACCGAGATCAGCTGTCCTGATCCTGGACCCTTCGCTGATGAAACTTCGGCCGTGGTCAAGGCTACCGTGGACGGAATCGATTTTTCCGCGGGTAGTGCCTTGTTCACCCACAGTCGGATGCCATACGTGTTGTCAATTCATCCCACAACAGGGCCACATCGTGGCGGTACCTCCGTATTTTTGTCCGGAGCACACTTCCCCAATTCTGGCGGACTTGTTTGCAGCTTCGGTGGGCTGCTTGTACCTGCGAGATGGCTGTCAGGGGAGCTCCTACACTGTGAGTCCCCAGCAACGCCCGAAACTGGCGCAGTGGTTGTTCAAGCGTTGGCGGGTGGAGGCGTGTTTGCTTCGGAGGGGCTGCACTTCTTGTTCTACAGTGCGGCAGTGCTATCGGCCATTCCAAGAATGGGACCTAGGGGTGGTGGCACGCTGGTGTCAATTCTAGGCGAGGGATTTGAGAAATCTGGAGATTATGTGGTGCGTTTCGGGCTGATGTATGCCCAGGCCATTTTCGTGACCTCGTCCGAAATACAGTGCCTCACACCAGGACAGCTGAACGCCGGCGAGGTAGAGGTTTCGGTCACCGTCAATGGCATCGACGTTGACACCGGTTCCGACGCTGTTTTCACCTACACTGCGCCAGCCACCTTGGCGTCCATTGAACCTACTTGGGGACTCAAGGACGATGAGACAATTATCATCCTACACGGCAGCGGGTTTGCGAATACCTCCGATCTTGCCTGCTCCTTCGGTGGGAGTGGAATGCGGTTTGTCGCAACGTTTATATCCACACGGCATGCTTCATGCACACTTCCCATCGGAATCACTGAGGGTGAATACGACGTGGACGTGACGACCAACGGGCAAGAGTTCACTAGGAGTGGAGCCACGTTCAGAGTGGAGGAGGAACCGACCATTTTGTCCATTTTTCCGAACAGTGGCCCACACTGGGGGGGAGAAGCAATACATGTCAAGGGCTTCAACTTCAAGCGTACCTCGCGGCTTGGGTGCTTATTTGGATCAACAGCCGTAAATGCTCGTTGGGAGTCGTCGACAAGCTTGTGGTGTGTCTCGCCTTCTGGAGACACAGGCCACAGTGTCCCATTCACGGTTACCCTGAACGATCGCCCGTCCTCTTCTGAGGCACACTTGTTTATGTTCCGGGATTACTCTGCAGAGCAGTGCGTGGCAGGCCCCAAGAGTGCTCCAATTGACCTTTTGGTGGCCAGCAGGGGGAACCAAACTCTGGAGGAAGCGTTTGGGCAATACTATAGTGCCAACATCACGGGAGAATCTTTCCAGGGAGCTGTTTTTCCGGACAACGCCCGTTTCATTTCGGAGTCGGAGATGCAAGATGGATGCGAATCCCACGGCGATTCCACTGCAGGCGCAGATTTCGTCCTGGGGTATGTGAACAACCACGCCAGAAATCGCGACGCAACTGTCCTGCGCGTAGTTCCTGATAGTGGCTCCTACGCCGGAAACACTACCGTTCTTGTTGTTGGCACCAACTTCATCGACACTCAAAACATCGAGTGCGTGTTTGGTGCATCAGTGGTTCCGGCCCGCTGGCTCTCTCCGGCCCTGCTGACTTGCCTTTCAGCCCCTGGGGATGCCCCAGGCAGGGTTCCTTTCAATGTCGCCGTAAAAGGCATGGCCTCGAGTTCTTCGTCTCTCTTCTTCTCGTACAAGGGTTTCCCTACTGTGATCAACATGCTGCCGTCATTGGGATCCGTTCAAGGAGGCACGATCGTTTCATTTCGAGGGGACGGATTCGTATTCTCAAGCGGTTTGAGGGCGCGCTTCGGAGACATTGTCGTTCCAGTCACGTTTGTCAGCCAGAGAGAGCTAGCGTGCACTTGTCCGCCTTCCTTTGCTGGAGACGTCACCGTTCTTGTCAGCGACCATGACCAAGCTTTGAGCAGTGTCAACAAGTTGATCTTCACATACACCGGCAAACCGGTAGTTGAAGGTCTCAAACCATCCCGTGGAAGCGTCGCCGGAGGCGAGAAGGTGAGCGTCCGTGGACGACACTTCGCGAACAGTACGGATCTAGCATGCATGTTCGGTGAAGCCGGCGTTGTTACGGCCAGGTTTGAGTCGGACACAGAGATTGTATGTGACACGCCGGCCTTCGTCGGGGAAATGGCTCAAGGGTTGGAGATCACCGTCAACGGCATCGACTTTACATCTGATGGAAACATTTTCACGTTCACCGGGGCACCTGCCATTCTTTCTGCTACTCCAGACAGTGGGAGTGCCAATGGTGGCACAGTTGTCGTCGTAGAGGGGGTCAACTTCGTCGATTCCAGTGATCTTTCCTGCCACTTCGGTAGCTCGTCAGTGTCGGCACGGTGGATTTCGTCGCAAGTCGTTCAGTGCGTGACCCCTCCAGGCGTTCCCGATACGACAGTTCCACTGGCGATCTCTTTTTTCGAGGGTCAAACAACTATCGGTGGTGCAGAATTCTACTCTTTTGCACAACCCACCTTTAACGGGATTTCTCCCATGCATGGCAGCATCCACGGTGGAACTACGTTGTCGATTTTTGGAGCCGGATTCTGGTTTTCGGGTGGACTTCGTATTCGTTTTGGGAGAACAGATGTTCCTGTGACGTTTGTGAGCCCTTCTGAGCTGCGGTGCAATTCACCCGCGACACCATCCCCGGGGCTGGCTGCCATACTCGTGTCTGTAAACGGTGTGGACTTCTTTGGGCGAGATGACGCGGAGTTCAACTACGTGATTCCGACAAGAGTGATCACTGTCTCACCTCGGGAAGGACCGCAAATTGGTGGGACATCAATATCTGTCAGCGGGAGTGGGTTCAAGATGGGCTCCGGACTGGGCTGTATGTTCGATGGAGAGATTGCCGCAGCGACGTATCATTCAGAGACACTAGTGAGTTGTGTCACGCCCCCAGCCAAGAAGGACCGTCAAGTGGTCGTCACCGTTGTAAACGGCGGACCAGAGCATGCTGCGGAAGGCAAAGTGTTTATTTACGGAGGAGGAGCCAGCATTTCATCAGTACACCCCAACAGTGGCCCAGTTTCAGGTGGAACACTCGTTCACGTCGACGGTTTTCACTTCGTCGATGCGCAACATATTCGGTGTGTGTTTGGTGCTCAGGTCGTACCTGCGCGCTGGGTTTCCTCTACTCGAGTAGTGTGCACATCACCTCAAGCAAGCGAGGCGCAAGGAGTGCCGTTTGCCCTCGAAGTTGAGGAGGTCCACCGCCTCGACCATGAGACGATGTTCTCGTACTATGAGGAGCCGACCGTGTTGGGCATATCCCCGCAAGTGGGATCTGTCGAGGGAGGGACGACGCTCGATCTTGTTGGGGAGTTCACGTTCTCTAAAACGCTCACGGCAAGCCTTGGAGCTGTGGAAGTCCCCGTTGTATTTATCAATTCAACCTTGCTTCGCTGCGTGACAGTCGCATCATCTGCGCAAACGGTTAAGGTTGGCCTCAATGTTGATGGAGCACGCGGCATGAATCAACCCACATGGCGCTACACCTTCCACGGCAAACCTCGGGTGGTAGACATCGAACCCTCTCGCGGGAGCATTGCTGGAGGGGCCTTGATTTCTGTACGCGGCGAAGGATTCGAAGACACGAGGACCTTAGGTTGCAGGTTTGGGCCAACCGGCGAAAATGTCGTTAAGGGCAAATTCATTTCAACCGTAGAGCTCGTATGCACCACCCCTATGGGGGAAGACACGGGACCCGTACAGGTGGAAGTGACTGTCGATGGAATCGAGTTCAGCGACAGTGGGCATCACTTTACCTATCATGGAAGCCCTTTGATCACCTCCGTCAGCACAGCATATGACAATGCTGTTCTGGCCCGTGGCGGATATTTTGTTGATTCCGAGACCCTTGTCTGCCTCTACGGTGCATCGAGCGAGTCGCCAGGAAGGTGGATTTCGACTACACTAGTCGAATGCGCCCCACCAACATCAGACGTGATCAGCGCCGTGGGAGGAAACACCACAACCCTCGCCGTAGGCTTTGGCGGTGCAGAACAGACTGAAGCGGTTGTCTTTGAGCTAGCTCGTCCCGCTAACTTCTCCAGCCTTTCTCCCACTATTGGCTCGTCAGCCGGAGGAACCATGGTTTTCTTGCGAGGCACGGACTTCGTTTTTGGTGGAGATCTACGCGTTCGTTTTGGTGGTGTCGAAGTTCAAGCCACGTTTTTGAACGAGACGCTAGTTGCATGCGTTTCTCCTGCCGGGGAGCCTGGGTTCACCGAAGTGGTGCCCATACTTGGGGCCGACGTCTCCGCAACCACTTCGATTCAGTTCCAGTACGTCCATGACGCAGAGGTGACAGATGTTACCGTCACATCTAGCGACATCGTCGGACGTAAAACGGCAGTTGTGAGAGGCGCCAACTTCGTCAGCACCAGTCAATTTCAGTGCAGATTTGATGAAAATATGCGGGTGCCAGGTATCTTCATATCGGCGAGCGAGGTGTGGTGTGGCGTACCTCCGTTGACCGAGTCTGGACGAACGGCGCTGGAATTAAGCGTCGACGGCTTCGTGTTTGTGCCAGCCGGATTTGTGTTCGTGGGCGAAGAGGAGGAATCTCTGCTAATGCTTGACCCTTCGAGTGGCCCGGCCGTGGGGGGGACACTTGTTGTGCTATCTGGTGGGAGCTTTCGGCGCTTTGATGGAGTGGAATGCTCCTTTGGTCACACAAGAGTTCCAGCCATTTGGCTCTCCGAGGGGGAGATTCAGTGCGAAAGTCCTCCATGGCAAGAGGTGGATCAGGTACATGTGACAGCCTTGGTGGACGGCTACGAAGCTGGCGCTGGGGTGTTTACGTACGAGCGGCGTTTGGTTTTCTCCATCTTTCCCGAGAAAGGCGAAGATTCCGGCGGAACGCTCGTGACGATATCTGGACGAGGATTTGACATGAGCAAGCAGTGGGTTTGTTGGTTTGGTCTGGAGAAAACGCCCGGCGTTGTTGCCGCCGACGGCGAAGGTATGTCCCTGCAGTGCTTGTCACCACCAAGGGTTAGCTTGGATACCGTTGTTACCCTCAATATCGGTGCTGGTTCTTCTCTCCCTGATTTTTATTCTGGGGTACCTTTCACGTATATCCCATCAGTGAAGGTGATTTCACTCTACCCGACGAGTGGTTCTACTCTAGGCGGCACATCCGTCAACGTCATAGTTCAGCACGGTTTCGGGAGGTCTCCCCCTCCGCTTTATTGCAGTTTCGGTGAAGCGGGATCTACACTCTCTACCTGGATAAATGAATCGGCTGTGGAATGCAAAGCCCCCTCGTCACCGTTCCGAGGGAAAGTTATGGTGGGTATCTATTCTTCAAACGCGAACGGAAATGAAATAGGTGGGACTTGTCCCTACTGGTACTTCTACCCGCCGACGGTCTCGTTCGTATACCCTCTTGAAGTGGAAACAAGCGGCAGCACACCGTTCGTCGTGACGGTTACGGGAGGAAACTTTGTGGGCTCTGGTCCTCTCTCCTGTCGAATCAATGGGACGATGGTCAATGCTTTGTGGCTATCGGGATCGGTCGTAGAGTGCCCATTTATGGCGATTCTTCCAGGAGAGCACGCTATCGAGGTGTCCAACAACATGGTTGATTTCGTTCTCGCAGGCGTGATCCTCGTTACATTGCCAAGTGATAGCCTCGCGGTGAGCACAGGTCACGTCGCCCCTAGCAGGGGCTCTATCGAGGGCGGAACCTCCATCAAGGTGTTCGGACCAGACGTGGAACACCTTGGCTCTGTGCGGCATTGTATCATCGGGGATCTCGTGTTGAACGCGACCACGTCAAGCAAGCAACATGTGGAGTGCGTTACGGCAGCTCACGAGGAGGGGACGCTACCTGTGAGTGTCTGCGACTCGTCCGACAGATGCTCTCAAAGCCAGGGTGATTTTTCTTTCGTAGATCCTCCTGTCGCGAAACGGCTTGTGCCTAACATGGGTTCTGTGCACGCAGCATCAATGGTCAAGGTGGAGACATCGAAGGGTTGTGGCCATGATTCTGTGGACGTTTGGTGTCGATTCGACGATATTGCTATACGTGCGTCGTCGGTACTCGATGACTCCGTAACATGTGCCTTTCCGACAAGCGAGGATGGACTTCTTAACGTGTCCGTGTCGTGCAATGGGGTCGACTTTTCGGACCCTCTACAACTCATGCGCTACCCTGAGATTTTTGTGTATGACGCGTTTCCCCTTTCGCTTTCAAGCGAAGGGGGATCAGTCGTTCACGTGAGTGGTCGAGGATTTCAAAACGTGGCGGACGGAGGAACTGCGAGTCCCAGTCTGCTGTGCTTTTTCGACGATACGCCACTACCTGCAGTGTGGGTATCCGAAGCGTTGGTGCTGTGTCGCTCGCCTCCAAAGGATCCTGGCATGGCGGTGCTCAGTATCTCGACTTCCATGTACCAGGAGGTGGTAACAACCGTGAATGTTTCATATGTCGACGGTGGCCATGGCAACACCAGCTATATCCTGAGCCCCACCGCTGGAACCACGGAAGGGGGTACGGTCGTATCGATCACCGGCACGAACAGACTTACCGGCCCGGTGTTTTGCCTCTTCGGCGAAGAAGTTACGTCAGCAGTCTCTGTGTCTTCCTGTGAGGTTGCTTGCGTTGCACCGAAAGCTTTTGCGCAAGGTCGCGTGGATGTCAACATAGTTTGGGGGGACTACAAGGAGGCCGTTGGCGAATTTGAGTACAAGACATACGTCCTGCTCTCCAGTGTGCGTCCAGCTGTGGTAGACACTGATGGTGGCACTCACCTCACTGTTTTCTTGGAGGAAGCTTCTGGCGCTATACCAGATGCAGCGAACGTGAGCTGCAGAATCGGTGATGACCTGGTGCCAGCCTTGGTGCACCCGACTGGATTGAGCGTCGTGTGCGTCGCGCCTGCCGGACCGCCAGGACCTGCAGAAATTGGCCTGTGGAGTGAGGGATATCAAACATCGCGGGGAGACTTGAGGCTGTCGTATGCTTCTGTGCCGATCGTCAGCAAGGTTAACCCTGTTGGTGGGCCGTCTGGTGGAGATACGCAAGTGGATGTTTTCGGGCACAACTTCATCTACTCTCAAGATCTAGCCTGCTTCTTTGGCAACGAAAGGTCGACGCACATAGAGTGGTTGTCAACCTTACAAATACAGTGCACTATACCAAAGCTGCTGCCAGGTATTGCTCATGTCACGGTTTCGCTCGACGGGGTCCGATTCAGCGAGCCCTCAAACGCTTCAACGTACGCAGTTCATCAGGATATTGTGCTTGACCGTCTGGAACCAGCCATTGGACACGCTACTGGGGGCGCTGTGGTGGCGATCACTGGCAACAGGATTCCGCTGACGGGAGGCTTGGAGTGTCTGTTTGGGGATGTTGCAACGCCAGCGGTCGTACTTAATCGGACGTCTCTGGAGTGTGTAAGTCCCAAGCTGAGCGTGGGGTCGGTGGATATCAACCTGCAGTATACGGACGGACGAGGGCGAATGAACAGCGGTGGTGCACAAGTACGATTCCAGGTCATTGCCGAGGAGCCGACCGTTCAAATTATGTCACCAATGTCTGGGCCTGTCGAAGGTGGCACGAGTCTTGTTATTGGTGGCGCCTACTTTTCCAACGCGACGCGAATTGTGTGTCGTCTCCAAGGCAGGACTAGAAGTGTCGATATTGTGGCAGATTGGCTGTCATCAAGTGCCGTAGTGTGCACATCACCGCGATGGCATCAACCGGAACGGGCCGTACCTGTCCAACTACTGGTCGATGGACGTGGCGCTCAGTATTCGAGAAATGCTACCATGATGTTCGATTTCAGCGCGTCGCCGATTATCGAAGAGATTCACCCGCGGCATGGACCTGAATCTGGTGGTACCGAGATTCGACTCCGTGGCGCCAATTTTCGCAATTCGAGGACGCTGGCATGTCTCATATGCACGGCGGGCGGCGATGCATGTACCACCACTAGTGGAGAATGGGTGTCGTACCACGAGCTTAGGTGCATTTCTCCCCCGCACGAGCCGGGCTTGACTACGGTGGAGGTGGTTCACAGTGGTCACGAAGCCACGCGCAAAGTTGCGCACTTTTTCTTTGATCCCGCACCTCATGTCACCAACATTCATCCTACCGGAGGAGGCTTGGAAGGTGGCACTGAGGTGCTTGTTACCGGGACCAACCTAGCGTTCACAGGCACCGCCATGTGTCGATTCGGTGACATTTCTACGAAAGCAGCATTCCACGCATCTGGTGTTATCTGCTTATCGCCAACCCTCTTGACTCCCCAGAAGGTACTCCTCGAAGTATCTGTGAATGGTGCTGATTTCACTTCGGACAGACACAAATTTCAGTTCTTTGGGTCCGATGCTGAAATTTGGTCAATTTCTGGGCATCCAACTTACGGAGACCGAAGGGGCGACACGGAAGTGGCGGTGCATGCTGCGTTCGAGACGTTTACGGGCGAAGGGTATGAATGCGTTTTCGACGACGAGACCACTCCGGCGCTCGTAACTTCTCCTTCCTCCGTAACGTGCCGTTCGCCACCGTTCGCCGGGGAGCGCATCGTGGACCTCCGGGTGAAGTTAGCCGACGGGAAAGGTTTGACCGCGTCAATGCCATTCGAAGTTTTCCCAGACATCGAACTCCACTCTTTGAATCCTGCATCAGGATCATCAGCCGGAGGTTACACCGTCATCGTGCGTGGGACCGGGTTTGTGGATACCTCGTTGATCTGTTGTCGCTTTGGTGGCCGAAGCATTCCAGCGGAGTTGCTATCGACGATCGCATTAAGGTGTGTGGTACCGCCTCGAGTTGGCAAGGACCCGACTACGGTAGTCGTCGAGGTCTCGCACAATTGTGAGGACTTCTATGGTACGGGTCTGGACTTCAGCTATGACAGCGACCTCTCCAACGCCCAGAATCAGTCTGGGAGTGTTTCCCCCAATTCACCTGTGGGCTACAGAAAGAGCTCGATGCGATGCGCGCTGGAAGAGGCTGAGGTCAACTCGTCAGACTACAGGGAGCATCGGTCTATTGCTTGTACTTCGCTTGTGGACCCTCCTTCCGTCCACCCAACAGATCAAACCGGCCACACTGCAAACATAATCCAAGTTTCGCCTTCCTCGGGTCCCGTGGAGGGTGGCTCGATGGTGGATATTTCAGGGTTGAACGAGGGGTTGGACGATCACGAAGACACGGTTTTCTGTAAATTTGCAGGCGGTGGAAAAATCGTGCTGGCAAGTGCATTCCCTTTGGGGCAGCGAGGCACGGTGAGGTGCGTATCTCCACCGTGGCCTACTTCCGGCGCGGTGCTCCTGCAGGTTACCAGCAGTGATTCAGATGTTCTAACCGCACCAACGCCATTCCTGTACTACCCACAGCCTATTCTCTACGGCATGGATCCACTGACGGGGACGACTCAGGAACAGCCGATGATACATGTTGTGACGAGTGGGACATCTGTGATGGCAAACCCAACGTGTGGGTTCTTCGATGCCATGAACACCCTCATTGCCTTCAGTACCGCGGTGTGGACGACGAAGACGGGCGTGTGGTGCCGAACTCCAATCGCTGAACCTGGGCAAATGGTCGTCGAAATATCTGCGAATGGTGTTGACTATACACAAGGCTCTGGGTTAGTGTTTACGATCGTCATGGAACCCATGGTTCTCGACGTTAGCCCGTTGGTGGGTGCTGCCACAGGTGGCACGGAGGTAGCAGTTCGTGGCACTTCTTTCGGGATTTCAAGCACGGCAGTTTGCAAGTTCGACGGAGCACCAGTCCCTGCAACGATAGTGAACAACAATTTGGTGGTGTGTACAGCTCCACCCACCTCACGTAAGCTGCCTGCGACACCCGAGCAGGTCAACTTCGTTCTGACCCTGAACAGCAAAGAGGCGGGACCTTCCTATTCCAACACCTTCCCCTTCAACTACGTCGCCTACCCCGTGGTGTCAGCAATATCTCCAAAAGCTGGGCCCGCAGCAGGCGGAACCAGTATATTCGTGGAAGGCGACAACTTTGTCGATACGGGAAACGGTGTTGAGTGCGTATTCGGGGCTGACGCCACTCCAGCAACGGTGATGTCTGTGAACCGGGTTCTCTGTAGTTCTCCACCGCACCACGACGGAGACATCGCAGTGGCCGTAAGAAACGACGGCGGCCGGGCCATCGTTTCACAGCATGGACCAAGCTTCGTCTACAACTCCTCTCTGCGGATACCCCCGTCCGCCACGGAGGTACCATCGACATCCGCTGGCACCAGCTTCAACGAGATCGACAGTGGAACGTGGAGGGGCAGCAACCACACTGCGTGCGCTACTAGTCGAGACGGGGTGGGCAGGAGCTATGATGGGAGTGGTTGCGACGTCACACGCGGTCGAGTGGAATACATCAGACCCGACAACGGACCACGGGCAGGAGGAACTCCTGTTGTCGTGACGGGGCTTTTCTTCGAGGCGAGCGGAGTTTTGACGTGCCACTTCGGAACACAACAAACCCACGGATACGCCGTAAACACCACGCGCTTGGTTTGCTTGGCGCCACCCTCTCGCGAAAATAAATCCGTGCTCTTCCATGTGGCCAGTGACGGCCGGCCTTTGCCGTCTGACGATATTGTGTACAACTTCGAGGACGCACCTGTCCTATTACAGGTACAGCCACGAATTGTGTACCAGGGTATCGACAGTACCGATGTCGTGGTGACCGGAGAAGGCTTCCGCAATGACTCATTGCTTGCTTGCCTGTTGGGTGATGAGACCATCGTACGAGCGAAGTTCCTGTCCGACACGTCCGCTGTTTGTTCTATGCCGCGAAACGTCGGACATGTTCGGTTGCAGTTGACCAATAACGGTGTAGACTTCAGCTCAAGCGGGCATGGCGTTGCCTTCGTTCCCCAACCACTCGTGACTGGTATCGATCGTTCCGCTGCACCATCATTTGGCGCGGCGGGCATCCTTTTGTCGGGTTTGCACTTCTTGGACGTTCCTGAGCTTGCGTGCGTTTTCGGAGAACATGTTTTCCCGGCAAAATGGATCTCAGCGGAGAATGTATGGTGCAAGCTGCCTGACCTACGTGTGCCAGACCTTGTGAAAGTGACGGTATCACTCAATCGCCAGGAGCTACACCGGGGTTATACAAACTTCGAGATTTTACCCCCACCAAGTGTGCTGGTGGAGTCTGTACAACCAGCATTCGGGCCATGTCACGGAGGCACCGTGGTCACCATTGGAGGCAGCAACCTGAAGGGACGAGGAGAAACGGTCTGCAGATTTGGCAGTGCGGGCGATGTGGTTGCGCAAGTCGTCAATACTTCCACCGTGCGGTGCGTTTCACCTGTAAGTCAGGCTGGCGAGATGCGCATCCAAGTTGGAACGAGTGAGGACCTCTTCAGCGCGGCATCCGTGGCGTTTACGTTCGTTGAGGTACCAGCGGTCACCAGCGTACATCCGTCAACAGGCGTTGTGCATGGTGGGACTCGAGTTACAATCCTGGGCTCCAACTTTGCCAATACCACCGAGTTGGAATGCCATTTTGGCACTCAACCCGCCCTAAAGGTGGCATTTATATCTGCTGAAGAGGTTGTTTGTGAGACCGCTCCGAGTGTGACGCCAACCGTCGTTCCAGTTACGGTACGCGTGAACGGGGTGGCCTCTGCATCATCAGTCAACTACAGATATGTCCTTGGTGCGACAGTGCTCGATGTGTCACCGCACGATATATACTTCACCGAGTCAAGCTGGGTGACCGTAACAGGTGTCAATTTTATCCAAGGCCCTGACCTGAAGTGCTTGTTCAACGGAACGCTTTCTGCTACGGCCCAATGGTTATCGCCCGTTCTTCTACGGTGTCCGGTTCCGATCGCGTTGAGACCGGGTAGCCAAACGATTCCAGTGGCTGTGTCGAACAACGGCCAAGACGTATCGGCATCTTCCACGAGTATTCTTGTTCGACCACCCTTGAGGATTCTGTCGGTTTCACCAGCCAGAGCTCCTTTCGATCGGAGTACGCCAGTTGTTATGTTTTTACGAGCACACAACCAATATCTTGCACACCATGCTGCTGAAAAGCAACTCTTTTGCCTCTTCGACGATGAGCCCGTGCAGGCCGTGTCTGCGCTGACGCTGGTTCAACAGTGTGGTGTGCAAGCTGAAGGAGCATCGTTTGAGTGTGTTTCTGTCCGGTGTACAGCGCCTTCTCAGCTAGAAGCACGGAATGCTTCCCTGCGTATCGTGGATGGTACAGGAGCTCCACTCACTAGTTCATCAATCTTTGCGTTCGACGTAATGGTCACACCATCCTCCATTTCTCCACGAGTTGGAGCGTTCGGAGGCGGGACGGCAATCACGATTGAGGTTGGGCCCACAGGATTGTTCAAGCTGCCCGAAACAGCCGGCTGTACATTTGCTGATGCGTACGACACGGTTTCGGTGGCAGGCGAGGTGTCTATGGGTAATTCTGGTTCGCTGTTGGTGGTTTGCTCCTCTCCTCCTTGGCGGTTACGTCCTGGGCATCAATCGTTGGTCAAGCTGGAACTTGCTGTGGACGGCTTTCAGGGAAATATCGACGACCACCTCTTCCTCTACTCCAACCGAGCGAATATCTTTGCTCTCACGCCTCGCTGGGCTACGGATAAAGGCGGCACAGAAATTCGAGTTCGGGGAATCGGCTTTAGCCCACATTCACATTTTGCATGTGTATTTGGAGGCGAAGAGATTTCTCCAGTGAGTTCGGCCGATCGCGTGTCATCAACAACAGCTGTGCGACTGTCCGACAATGAGCTTCTGTGCGAATCTCCGGCGCGCCCTCCCGGACCGGCGTACCTTTCGATGACTGTCAATGGAGAGCAAACGGACGGTGTTCTGGAGATTCTGATCAAATCATCAACACGGGTCAATTTCCTGTTGCCATTTCAAGGACCAACATCCGGGGGTACAGTTGTGAGGTTGAGGGGGAGCAACTTCTTCTATACAGGATTAATAGCGTGTAGATTTGGCTCCTTCGACGTTCAAGCGACCTTTGTGAACTCCAGTTCACTTCTCTGTGTTTCACCACGATCGCCTCCTGGTGTCTACTCGGTAAGCGTGGCTATGGATGGAGAACACTTCGAGGATTCCGGGTTGCTCTTCCATTACTTCGAGGATTTAGGCATATTGTCCTTGACACCCGCATATGGTTGGACCACTGGAGGCACGAACGTCACTCTGAGCGTTGCGGGGTTACAGCGCTACGAACAGGACGCTTCGTTTATTTGCGTGTTCGGGAGTCATCGTGAAGCAGCAATCACCGTGGATGTCAACCAGGGGAGTATGGTCTGCTCCTCTCCTACGGCAACGCAGGCGTCCCTTGGAACTGGCGTTGGTGACGGGATGACGGTGATAGCTGTTTCTGTCGTCGACAGCTCAGGCGTTGTGTCAGCGACATCGAAACCTTTTCACTATGCGGCACCGGTGACAGTAACCGCTGTGGTTCCTGATCGCGGGCCAACAGGCACTCCTGTGCAAGTGTTGGGAGAAAATTTCGATGCCAGCTTCGAGCTTGAGTGCTTGTTTGGAAAGTTGAGAGCCCCGGCGACGTTCGTCACGTCCCAAAGGGTTGATTGCCATGCACCGGGTAACCAAACTGGCCAACTTGGTGTAAGTGTTTTGTCTGGGGAAACGTTGCCCGCTTGGCACGCCAGGGCCTTCTTCACGTTTGAGCAGCCTGTTGTTCTACTGTCCATCGACCCTCAGAGGGGCAGACACGGCGAAAGCACGGCCGTAGTGGTGAAAGGGAGTGGCTTTCACCCGTCAGCTGATCTGATATGTCGGTTTGGCGAGCTGGAGGCGTCTGCAACATTTATTAACTCGACAAGCGTACGCTGCCTTGCTCCCCCAGGAGGACGGGGAAGCGTCCGCGTGTTGGTATCTACACGAAAAACGCACACGGTGTCGGGGATACTGCACTTCTTTTACGAGACAGAAGTACTCATTCCTGCACTGAATCCATCGGAAGGTAGCCTATACGGGGGCACTTTACTCACGATCAAGGCCGACATCTCCTCAACTACATCAAACTTAGAGTGCACTTTCACGTCTCAACGGGCGACTGGAGCGACTAGTACCTCAAGCACAGCGGTAGCCGAAGGGGATACGTTCAAGTGCAAGACGCCACCATCGCCTGGATTGACAGTGGGAACAGCTTGGATGAGCTTGACGCAAGGGGGAACTACGATAGCGGAAGGAGCGAGTTTCAGTTTTGTCAACCCCCCGGTGGTGCGTTCGGTCCACCCTCAACATAGCTACAGGAGGGATGGCGAACGCGTGGTAATATCAGGCGATAATTTCGTTCCGTCGAAGGAACTCGCGTGTAAATTTTCCACACCGTGGAAGGATGGGTCTGTGTTAGCCCCAGCCCAATTTATTTCACCGACCAAGATCGCGTGCGTCACGCCAGTGTTGGAGGCGGCTTTGACTTCGGGCATCCATGGCCGTGTGGAAGTTACCACGAACGGGGCAGATTTTACATCAGCAGGTGCAAGGCTCACGTTCCAGCCTGCAGCCATTATATCTGCCGTGTGGCCTGGCTCAGGAGTGTCCACGGGAGGAACGCCTGTAACCATAACTGGAGTGGCGTTTCCGAGCGAAAAACTCTCGTGCCTCTTCGGGACGTCAACCGTATCAGCATGGGTGATGTCTGATTTCAAAGCTGTCTGTATCAGCCCGCCAATGCCACAAGGATACGATGGGCGAGTACCTCTTCGACTCGTAGTCGATGGCCGGATAGTGGCTGCCAGAGGGGCGGAGTTTACATACGTTCCGAGGCAACCCAGGGAGGATCCGATGTTAAGGACGCTGGCGCCCAAACGACGCGAACAGGACGTGTTCTCCGGGATGTTGTCACTACCATCTATCAGCAATTTCGAGCCGACCAGTTGTTCGAGCTCCGGAACTGTGATGATCCTTGTCCACGGTTGTAACTTTACGAGTTCGCCTACATTAGCGTGCTCGTTTGGAGGAGTCCACGGCGAGGCGACTTATCTGTCAGATGTGGCTGTGCAGTGTTTGGCACCACGGCACATGCCGGCTGACGTGCTCCTGGAGGTCTCCAATGACGGCGCAACATTTTCTGCCTCTGGTTTGACGTTCAGATTTTACTCGGATCCCTGTATTCTGTCCATTGACCCTTCCCACGGATCAGTCGATGGATCTACGCACGTGACAATCACGGGTGGCCACTTCAGACACTCGAGTCATGTGACTTGCCGTTTCGGGGATACGACTGTTCCTGGGATCTACCTTTCGTCGAACAAGATAGAATGCTGGACGCCACCCATGGAGAACGCAGGGGCAGCAGTCCAAGTACAGGTACGCCTTCTCGAGCGAGGTGTGACGGTAGTAAGTGCATTTGTTTGTTTGTTGTTTTTTGTCGCCTCTAGGAATCGCAAAAGGTCCTTATAGGTTTCATAATCACACGTGCCAAGTCTCTTCCTCGCGATGAAACAGGTTCACCGATGTGATATGTCGGGACACCGTTGTGTACCCTAAACCCGATTTCTTGACTATTCCATGTTTCCTTCAGTAACGCGGTGTCTTCCGCTGCTGTGTGCTAGGTGAGTAACGACAACGCCAGCTTCTCCTCTGAGTTCCTGACGTTCACCTACGACAGAAGCATGGTGATTGCATCAGTAACCCCGCCGACAGGGGCGACCAGTGGTGGGACGGAGGTGCTTGTCACCGGTGGACACTTCCTGGATTCGACAAAGAAAGGATGCAAGTTCGGCACTATTATGGTTCCCGCGAAGTTTGTCACAGACCAGGCGGTACTATGCACGACGCCACCGCATTCGCCTGGTGCGGTATCTCTGGAAGTAACGTCCAATGGTGCCGATTTCTCGTTTTCAGGGGCAGTATTTACGTACCACCCTCATGTGGAGATTGGATCGATTTGGCCTGTCTTAGGCCCTGCTTCCGAAGGTGGTACCGTCGTCACGGTGAACGGGGAGGGGTTTGTGAACTCGGCACAGCTCGTGTGCAAGTTCGACAACGTTGTCGGGATCGGAGCAAAGTGGTTGTCGTCAACTGTGGTTTTATGCACGGCCCCGCGGCATCGGCCGGGTCTGGTGACGGTTTATGTGGCGAACAATGGCGTTGACTTCTCTCCGACAGCCGAGAAATACTTGTACGTGAACGAGTCTTCGCTAGAGGATGTGCGACCGACTCAAGTGCTCGAGACGGGTCAGGTCCCAGTAATGGTGAGAGGGTCAAACTTTTTGAACACGAGCACGCTGGTCTGCAGGTTTGGAGACGTTGCGGTGAAGGCATCGTTCCTCAGCCCATGGCTCGTGACCTGCGTGGCACCGTCCCACTCGGCGCAACCACGCTTGCAACGTACGCTTGGATTCTTCCCGGTGGAAGTGTCCGTCAACGGGCTAGACTACACAGATAGCGGGAAGATGATCGAATACGTTCAGGCGAGCCCAGAGGGCCAATTTGTGCAAGACTGGGTGCCCACGTTATCTCCCAACGGCACGTACTGCGCTGGGGTGGGCAACACGAATTTTTCATTATGCGAACCCGGGAGCTTCCAACCCTTGTCAGGCACAGGGCGGTGCTTACCGTGTCCCGTCGGGTTCATGTGCCCAGGTGCGTCCTGTTCGACGATCGTGTTGCTTGTACGTAGGAAACTTACAATACCGAAATATTGCTTTCCAAGCAAAAGAGGGCGCCAAAAATTCCACAAATTTTGCTGTCCGATCCGTCTCGAACCATAGCAGCGGCAACGCTCGCCCTTCTCGTTTGTAAGCCATCCTTCAGCCTTTGAATGCCCATCGATAGGTGATCGCGGATGCAGTCTTTGGCAACGTAGTCCTGGGAATTCTTCGCCAAGTATTCAACCGTATAGACTACCACCTGTGTGTGAGGTGCGCTGGTGCCCTGGAAGACGCCTCGAGCCCTTGAATCCCTTTCGTTTCTTGCCGTTCCAGATTTCGGGCTCTCGGCTCCTGTGGTGTGCCCTGCTGGATTCGTGTGTCATGAGCTGGGGCTGGTGGGTCCTTGGCACCCTTGTCCGACAGGTCATTTTTGCCCGGAGGGTACAAAAACCGCTCGTCATGACGGAGTCTCAAACTCATCAGAGGGCTATCAGTGGATCACAACTTCTGGCAGTGGAGCAGCACTCTTCAATAATTCTGCCAGGAACGAGCAGTTCGAAGCTTTTGAGCGCCCTGGACCCGCAACCGGGGAAGGTCGTCGGGAGCATGCTCCAAGAAACGCCATCCTCGCTGAACAACCTCTTCCGTGCCCCGTCGGCTTCTACTGCGGGCAAGGTGTTGCCGTCGAGACCCCGGTGTCCAAGAACTTCAGCACTCCTCAAAGGTGCTTTGATGGGTTCTTCTGCCCCAGAGGGTCTTTCAGTCCGGAAGGTTCTGGCCCTTGCCCTACCGGTCATTTCTGCCCCACCCCACTCGAAGCGATTGAGTGTCCTCGCGGTCAGTTTTGCCCTGGAGTGGCCAATACCAAGCCCAGAGACTGCACGCCTGGCACATACAACCCTTTCATGGCACAGTCCAACTGCACCCTCTGCCAAAGTGGCCACATTTGTCCGGGATGGGGTCATGTGGCCCCACAAGTCTGCCCGCCAGGGTTCGTATGCGTTGCGCAGGGTTTGTCTGCACCGGTTTTGCTTTGTCCGTCGGGTTATTTCTGCAAGGAAGGAACTCTTACCGTGAATCCGGCAGATCCTGTCGAGCGGCGGCCTCTACCATGCCCGCCGGGCACGTTCTGTCTCGGTGGTGTCGCGCACAATATGACGGTCGATTGGATAGCTTTAGCGCCGGCAGGAGCTTCGGCCCCCCAGACCTGCACGGAAGGGACCTACTGCGAGGAGGCATCGGTTTCACCTTCTGGGTCAGGTCCATGTTTCGAGGGCCACTACTGCCCGCCTGGCATCAGCTACCCCATTGAAACTCCGATCGGGAACTTTGCGGCAGATGAAGGCTCCGTGGTGCCGATGTTGTGCTTTCCAGGAACTTACGCCCCCCTGACGGGAGCAAATGAGTGTCGAGTCTGTCCGTCAGGCTATACATGCCCTTCCTATGGAACGTACGAGCCAACCGTTTGCGAAGTGGGGCACTATCGCTCGTTGTCTGATTCAGTCACGTGCAGACCTTGCCCCACCGGGACTTTCTCGTCATCGCCGGGAGTAACAGATGTGTCGTCGTGCCTTCCGTGCCCTCCCGGTCGCATTTGCGGTGTCCAAGCCATGGTCAACCTCACAGAGAGCAATGTGAGAACACGACAAGGTAGTTTTGTCAGGAATTGTTTCGTAAGACAGGGTCGCTCGGTCGGACAACTAGAGCAGGCTGGTGTGAAAGAGAGATGCAGGCCCGTGCTCTCATCGCAACCCAAGTCTTGGCCCGTTAGGTCCCCTGAGAGGGAACTTCGGAAAGGTGAACAAGGCACTGACAACTCTCTAGGCGGCTGAAACGCCACAAGAGTCTGCGGTAGACCAGGTACTCGAATGTCTCTAACATCCGAAAACTCGCTGTTCCAAACTAGACTTCGGCCACTTTTGTAGCAAATCCGGCACCTTTGTGCGTTGGATCTTGCCATTCGCTCTGGACGTTGATGCGTACATGCCTCTCTTACTTTTAGGTTTGTCCGGCTGGGTACAACTGTGGTTCTGGAACAGACCGTTGGACCCAGTTCGCTCACAAATGCCCTGCTGGGTTGTTCTGTTCAGCCGGCACGGAGCCAGATGATCAGTACGAGAGCGTGTGCGACGCGGGTTATTACTGTATCCGCGGAACGCCTAGCTATTTAGCAACGCAGGTGAGTAGTTGTCAGCCAAACGCAGGACGAGCGAGCACGCTTGGGCACTCAGCCCTTGTTTGAGATGTTGTGTTATACAAAAACCACCACGCGCGTTATCAAGCACCGACGCGGCGAAATGCACAAACCAAGCGCATGGCGGTCACTCACACCAATGTTTGCTACCGACCACACCTACCCCATGTGTGAACTTTGCTCCCAGAACAAATGTCCGGTTGGGTCATACTGTCCAGATGGCACAGCATCAGGCGCGTCTTCAGATGTGCGATGCCCGAGGAAGACAACAAGCCTCGTGGGCGCATCCGAACTCTTAGAGTGCATCATTGAAGCGGTAAGCGACATGATGCTCTTTAGAATATGTGCGTAGCACTTGCAGCTGGAGAGCCGTGAGAAACCTCCCAAGCTTCTCGTTGACCACCCTACAGTAGAGGTTGGCGAAACTCTTGTTGCTGAATTAACGTCCTTTTGGTGGTCGCATATGTATTGCTTTACAACCTGTCGGAGCTAGAGTACTCAACGTATGATGAAATGAATGAATCTAAACATCGCCAACGTCGGCCTGTCAACGTTTTCCGGTAGACAAATGAGTCTCAATCTTCGAACAAAATGGATCTGTTTCGCCCCCAAGACCTAGGTACGCATTCTGAACGGACGCTGTTCTTGTATTGGTTAAGCATTTATCAAGAATACCCGTACGCCGTGCCGTTGTAGGTGGATGTCTGCGACAAAGTTGAAGTCAGCTCCAGGGATCCATCCCTGGATTCTTCATACTACAGCAGTTTCGTGTACACTCTGATGGATGGATCTGGAGAAGAGATAGCCTTCGACAGTACGCCGGCCAAGGATCCCACCGGAGAAGTACAGGTACGGCGGTAGAAGTAGGCACCCTCCTACCCTTCCAATCGGGGTTCGGAGAGGTTCTAGCAACCCACATGGCGCAGGTGTTCTTCACGAAAAGAGACGAAGGATAGGTTGAAGTATTGTAAGCATCCAACAGCTCCATACGACACTAAGTACTAGACGCGTTTGGTGAAAAAGTTCGTATCTTAGCTCGTTCGTGAGCCTCTTGTACCAAGCTTTCTGCAAGGAACGAATGTCGAATTGCACAAGTTGGAAACGCGAGTTTCAACAAACTAAGACGGAGAAAACGAGGAACACATGCATAACATGACGTTTTTCTAGCTCCACACTATTCAATACAAAAGCCGTGCTTGCGCTTCGGCTTGTTTTCCGACAGGTTTTGGAGAAGATAATGCCAATTAACGAATCCGGCTCGGACCCATTCTGGACGAACGACACAATCGAGGTCTTTCGAGTTTGCCCAGAGTACGGCACCCAAAGCGCAAGCGAGACTACAACTGTCATCGGTCGGAACTTTCGAGATAGCGACGTTCTGATGTGCCGGTTCATGCCGTGCACAAGTTCCACTGCTGGGCCCCGAAAGTGCGAGAAGCTTCCGTCAAGTGAAACTTCTGGAGACCAGAGATCTATTGAGGTGGCAGCCACTTACATCAGCGAGACAAGAGTGGAATGTCCTATCCCGGAATATGCTTTCCCGTCTAACGATTCTTTCCTTCTCCTCGACGGCGTGTGCGAGACGGACGATGCTGGAGTTGTAGCCTACGTGCAGAGCTGCGAAACAAGCGCCATTTCCGATGGATCTTGTGAAGACGACGCAGGGGCCGGCTACCGTTTCGTTTATGATACACTGGTAAGCAATTGCTGCTCTTTCAACTCGTACTGGCATTAAGGATGAGCTTCAGAGACAAACTACCTACACACGCAGGACGGCGTCTATATTGCGTGGCACAATGCCACCACTTGAGGCGTAAGCACGGTTCCCCCTGTCACGCAAACACAGGTGTCTTGCACTGTTGATGAAACGGAACGCGGGACATGCGACAACACCCCAGTATCAGGAAGGATGTGGAACCCTTGCTACACAGCCGAGGTACGATGGAGTTGATCGCAGGGGGAAGCATCTGGTCGGTGCGCTAGTCGAGTGACATCCGATGTATAGTATACTCGATGAGGACACACTGTGGGCTTGATGGTTCTTGCGGATGCTTTTAGAACCTGGCATGCCGGAGAGACTTGGATATGGCTACTGTCACTCAGGCGGAATGAATGATTGACGCGTTCTAATTCAATACTCGCGCTGGTTGTGTCGTGATGTGTGGTTCGTTTTCAGGGTCTAGTTTCGGATTAAGCTTATTGAGGTCGCTACGATGTAGAAATGCATTTCGGGGGCGTTGTGGACTTAGTACTGGGTATTCAATGGCCTGGGATATCTCGGGAGAGGATACCCCACTAGAACCTCTGTACCTACCTCTAACCAGGTTTGGTAGCACCGCCCGTCCGCCCCTGCGGGTTTAGGTTGCCGTACCTCGATAGACCACCTGGGAGTGAATGGGCGGTGACGCGCCGTCATGGGTTGGCATCTCGCCTAGAAGTTGATCACCTCTGCTTCCGAGTAACATGCCGGTGAGTCTCTTCGTTTGGTGTAAATTCTTGCTCCGTTGTGCTCTCGGCACTCAATGAACTTGCTGCTCTTCCCAGATACGAATTGACGTGTCAGTCTCTGGCTCCATCTTCAGTGGGGATGGCCTGTTCTACCCGCACTCAACTCTGCCCAGTGCTCTGGCCGAAGAGAACTACATGGACTACACTGTGGATGCAACGTTTGCTACCTACACAGTCGTGCTGGAGGTGGGCGTACGGACGCCGAATAGGGTTTTGTTTGCTATGGGACGCACCTCTGTGATGCACGCACCAGGTGCATGATGCACCGGTTCTGCCGACCAAACAATTGCACAATGTTTGTTACTGATCTCGTGTTTCTTTGTACCGTTCGTATCAAACTTCAAAGGACTACTGGCTTGACGATACGAGAGTGGCGGACATGGATGCTCGTAGGTGCATGACAAGAAGGATAAGCGAAGAGAGCGATAGACAGCGGGAGCAGGGATGGTTCCTTCTCCGGGCTCTGCAGACCGCTCAAATGTCCTTCGATCTGTCACATATTCCATCCAGCATGGTGAGACGCGACTCAAGCCAGCGCTAATAAGAATGTGATGCCAGTTTGAATGGTGGTGGCTATCCTTTTGGTTCCTGTGCGCCGGTGGGTTCATCTTCTTTGCGTGCATGGGAACTGAGTGATCGAGCTCATTGAGGTGCCTCAATACACCCTGACGGTCCCGAATTGCTTCATTTCGCGTGTTGTCGTTTTGAATGTTGACGCTTCGTTCTCCGTCCTGTTTGTCATCTTCAGGTGTACGACGAACACTACAAGTTGGCCATATACGTGACGCCTAGCAGATGCGATGACGAGGTCTGCAATTCTGCCCGGATTCGCCTCCCGGCAGCAGAGAAGTTACCCTGTCGCCAACCACTAGATATGCCGGCAGGGTTTCTGGACTCCAGCATTCCAAAAAATCAGACTCTCAACTTCACCATTTTCGCTTTGGAGGATGTCTTACTTAAGGTACGCATGCGGTATTGACGCTGTCTGCTGTTCCTTCCGCTGCCTATATCTGGTATTTGATATTACGATTTTCCCACCGACGCCTTACTGAAAGTGATTCCATGCTTCGGCAACCAAGAAAATTACAAAGTCCCGGTTGTTGTTCTCTCTCTTCGCTGGCGCACCACAGACGGAGGTCCATATAATGCACGGCCTGTTTATGCCATCGGCAGCTTTCTTCAGAAACACCACAACCCTAATGAAGATGGCCCCCAGTCGAGCGAAGACTCGACTGGGAACTGTTCCAGAGAGCCGTGCTTTGAACCCGTTCGTATCCTTCGAGGAGCGCAAGGTGGTGAAAGTGAGTGTCGCTGACAATTGTAACTACAAGGATCGGGGGAGGGGGCTGGCTGAAGTTGAGAGATCGAAAAAATCCAGCGCGTGGTGGTATTGCGGCTTATCGCTAGTGCACGAAGCATCCCACCCGATCTCGGTCGACGTTCCCCCACCCTTTCTTCTCCTTCGTTCCAGGAATATTTCTTCGCGGCCGTCTACTATGAGAGCCTCATGAATACGATTTCAGCGCCTCTCAACATGCCACCCCGATACGCGGAGTTCTCGAAGGGCCGCGTTTTGGTGGGTTTCAACACATCAAGTCAAAACATGGATACTCCATGGCTGAGAGAAGACCGAGAAAATGTCGCGATAGCCAGCGACTACTGGGACAACCCGGCAGCATCTGACGAGCTTGGGAAGGAGTTGAAGGATACTTTCCACGAGGTTCGCGCCTTCGGGGGGGGGGGGGGATCTCCGCCTTAACCATGACAATTGAGTGTGCGAGTATGCACACATCGTGAGATGATGGGTAGCGAGGCACGATATAGCTAGGCCACCCTGCAGGCAAACTTGCGCTTGGTTGGTCGTCGTTTGGACTATGTGGGTCTCCCTTTTGTACCGAAATTTCATAATGCGAAAAACATGCTGTTGTCCCAACTCCTGGCCTCTTGACGTCGATGTGTCGTCAGCCCGTCGTTTGTGGAAGTGATCTCTGTTGTAGGCTTTGCTTGGGAACACTTACTCCTTGGCGTGTGCCGTGGTACGAAATAAAAGTCAACCTTCGCATGAGAGAATTTGCACCAACACCCTTTTTCCATCTGAGCTTACCCTGTCGCTGGATTTTGTTTGAAAAATCCAACACGCCAGGTGTTCGACGAATATGCTGTGAACGAAGACGGCACTCCAGCCTACGCCTTCTCGCAGTTGATGCTACCATACTTGCCCTACTTCTCCAACTGCCGTGGTTTCGACTCGCACATCCCTGTGTACGCACTGTTGGAGAGTAGCCAGTGCGCCCTGCCGGACGACCGCGACTCAGATTGGTGGCGGTAAGCGCTGAAACGATTCCTTGGTGTTTTCATGTCTCCGTGCCTTCTCCAAGATACCAACTACTTCGAGCCCATCTCAACGGTTCCATGCAAAACTACACGGAGGTGAGGGTGCTAAGGTATTTGATTTTCTCCCTTGCCGTTCCAGGTATGCGCATCCTGTGTTTCCACATGAAGACGATGTTGTTCACGTCGGGCCGTGGGACGTTGGAAACAAGCCAATAGCAGATTGGTGCACCTACTCCATCGAATGCCAGTACGAGGTAGGTGGACAGAGGGAACCTCCACGTCACATCCAATTCGACAATTTCTAACCTCCATTTCTCTATGTTCTTGGTAATTGTAGGTCATGTTAAATGAGGCAAGGCTAGGTGTCTGTTGTTGAAATTTGACCCCGGTTCTCGCGAGCATGTTGCATCCATGAAACTTCCCCTCGACAGTTAGTGAGTCGCTTCTGTATTGCATTCCCAATCGGCATTTGATCCTTGTACCCGTATACTGGCCGTGGTTTTCTGTTTCAACTCCTAAGGAGGAGCTCGAGAGCGTCGACATTACTCCGCGGTGGTTTGAAGCTGCGACAGGAGACAGTATTTTCTACCTCATTCGTGAATCAATCACATGGCAGGTATGCTTATGAGATGTTGACATTAACAATATCCATGATGAGCACACGCAAGGCCCCGCATTTAGATCCTTATTGCTGTGGTCCTTGATAATTGACTCAGCTGTGTTGAGGGTTTATCGACCGTTAATGCCACCAGGGGACGTGTAGCTCCACCAGCTGTTACAGAGATCTAACGCTGAAGCATTTTGGGCAGTCGTCCGTCACATGGTCAGCTGCTATAAAACCTATGCTTGGTGTTCCACGTTCCCCAAAATGTACGAGTAAGGTCGAAGTTCACCGGAACTTTAATCACTACCTGTTGATTTATGATTTATAGGATCAAACCGTCTACAGATCATTGCGTTAGCACCGCGAGCATGGCTTGCGCACCACGAGATTTGAGTACTTTCGTCACTGACAGCACAAACTGTGCACGTTCCAATGCAGAATCAGGTTGAAAAACTGTTTCCTCCTAAGGTTGCTGTTCGAAATGATTTGCCATGTTTTACCGAATCGTGTTCTATCCGGAAAGGACTTCACGGGGCGAGCTGAGACGCGTGTTGGCTATGAAGATGCGGGCACTGGGCATAAGATATCGTCGCTAACCCGTGAAGAGGGATCCGACGTCTTCGTGCCCATCTCGGTTGATCGCAAAGCGGCAAACACGTTCAGTGGTGGATGCACAGATCTTTGCTATCCCAGGACGATGACGTTGACCATCGCCTACTACCAATTAGACACTAGCACGAAGCGTATCATTGACGCGAAACTGAAGTTTGATGACTTCGACAAGGACCCGTCTCAAGTTGGTTATACACTCAACGTGGTGTACTACCCGCTGGACTACTGGGAATTGATAATCAAGTTCGCTTTCGAGAACACCGTCTTCATTGCGCTCTTCGTGGTGATTGGCTGCACGTCAGTGCTGGTGGCAGCCCTTTACTGGCTGAATGTCCGCATCACTACACAGGTGGGCTGAAGTCGTGTTCCGGCCGGCACCCGCCTGCTGAAGCTAGTCACAGAGTATTACAACCGACCCACCATAATGCCCGTGGCTATTGTGCAATGTTTATTGAGACTCTATCAAACTTTTGTAGTCGCATTATGTTCTTTTTGTAAGGCCGTGTCTACGCGGTGGAAATTTTTACTACTACATGCGATCGCACCAATATTTTCGCTCGGTATGTCGTTACCCCCCTCCAGCCGTTCATCAAAATCACACCGCGGCTAACACTTCCTATGTGCACGGCCAGCCCTTTAAGACCCTGCGGGTTCCTCTCCGTAGATCGATGAGGACTAAGTCTCTCCACTCTGTGCGATGATGGATATGGAATTTTGTTCCGCCACGCCAAATATCCGCGTTTGAGAAAATCCTTCCTGAGGCACATCGTTGGAATAAAATTATACCGACTGGGCGGCTGAACTAACAATCGTAAGTGCTTATGTGGTGTGAGCCTCGTTGTTGAGCACAACCTGACGGGTGGTGACCATGCCGTTTCTCTTCTTGACGGCCAGCTTGTAAATCCATCGCGGCTGCACTTCTGGAGCATGTTCAGCCTGATTGCCCCCCCGGCTTTCTCGGGCACGCTGCTTGGGCTGGTTCCCATCGTGATCATGACGATGGCGGTGTACGTTCTCCTCTACGGCCCTCCGTACATCGAAACAACCGACTGGGTTCTCGACAGCTACAAACTTCACTACATGGATACGGCCGTGGATCCCGACAACTACGCTAAGGCCAGGTGGATGCATCGAGAATCTGTTGATAGCCGGGGAAATTCTTTGGCATGCTCTGCGCATTACCCGCCATTGCAAATAAATAGATCCGAGTAGCTTTGCCGGCTGCGGATATCCTCCCTCTCTCCCTTGTGACCTATCGGCACAGTTGTTTCCGCCAAGAACCCGTTCTGTAGGGACATCACCCTGGGTACTCGAACATTTTTCTCGCGAGCAGCCCTCGGCGCTGAATGTCAGCGAGTCGTATTTCACGATGTGAGACCCGTGCTCCTCATGACGACGGTAGACCGCGTCGTGCACTACACAAGCCCGCTCTCGTTCAGAGGAAAATCGTTCCCCATGTCTAGTACGCAAAAGAAGACGATGGCCAATATTTCGAAATGCGGCACCTTCTTTCCAATGTTTTGCCTGGGGCCACTCAAACTCCAATCAAAAGCGTAGATCTAAGGTGGGGGGGAGGTACAAGCATCTCTTCGCGACTTAGAGGACGAAGTTCGCAGTATCGTAGACTTGACAAAACTCGCCTCTCGTTGTTAACAAAAAAATTTCCAGGCAGCCACATGCCTCTACTGCACCTTATTCTGATTGTATGCGATGAGGTTGCACCAAGATATCCGCAAGTGGCCCTAGCCATTCAACTTTCAGCGACGTTACGGCTCGCCCGCCTGTTTCCCTCCCAACCAAACGCCTCCATTCACCGAAAAGAGTGGTTGTGAGTATGTATCCCCTGAGTCTTGAAGGCATTGCCCAAGGTAAATAAATATATATCACTTAAGCGAAGTTTACTGCTGTGCGTAATTATTCCGTACAGCCCTTTCGGACACTAACCTACATATATATTCCTCAGGTATGGCCGGCTGGGAGTGTGCTTCGTCACAGTAAGCGCTGTGTGCATTTGGCAAGGAGCGCGGATATTTCTTCCTGATCGCCAAAGCAAGCGCGCCAAAGAACTGGAGATAAAACGCGACGCTCGGGCCGAGAAGGAGCAGGTAGGAAGGTGTGCATTCAAGTGCACGCTTCATCTCACCATTCCGCAGCGAGTTTCCACGGGGCGCCATGGAACTGAACCGTGTTGGTTTCCTAATCACCTCGAGCTGTCCAATCAACTCGACTGGTGGTGTGCCCTCTAGTTGATCATGTGTCGATGTTTTGGGTGTTGGCAGGTGTGGATTCCTCTGACCTGGCGACGAAGCAACATGGTGTTTTCATCCTACGTTGTGGGTTTGTTCGGACTCTTCATCTTGGAGTTCTCCCTGTGGAATAACTTCGGCAACTACATTTGGTACGTATCCATCGGTTTCACCATACTGCACATGGTCATCGGTGATATCATCAGCTACCAACTTAAAGAGGTGGGTGGAGGTTGCGGCGAGCTCTTTGTGGATCGATCATGAGACAGCTATTTTACTAACCACAACAAAGACAAAACATACTAGTATATATATGGACTATATAGGGTTAAGACAAACTAATCCTTTCGATGTTTACGCAGGTCCTCTTGGAAGCCCCGGTAGGGACTGGCCTTGGTATCGTGATGGGCATCACGGGGATGGGCGCCAACGACTTCATGGACTTCCTGCTATCGTATTTTGTAGACCTGGGACTAATCATGCTCTTCCGAGTCAACATCGACCCCGCGCTGGGTGACATCCTTGAAGCGATTGGAGAAATGTGAGGATGCGTCTTTCCACAGAATCGGTTCATCACAATTTCGCGATTCAATGAGGGCGCGTCACTTCAACATCACCATTTCCCTCTTTTTTTGGTTCCTTTAATAATTGCTTCCATTCTACGCCACTCTACTGTGCAATGCCTATCTCTTGACTTGCAGGTACCAGTCGGCTAAAGACTCTATCAGAAACCGGATGCCTATCTGGTTGGCGGCGCGCTTGGCAGTAAAGCAAGACACCAACGACACGACGGCCAGCTCTTCAAAGTACGTGGTTGATGTACCAGCGGGTTTGTGCAAGTGATTCACAGTGGTGATCGGGTCCAACTTTCAGGAGAGCGTCGTGGCCTTGATCGGTAGCCGGGCTTCGATAATTATATGCCCACATACCTCGTTCAATAATGGTTCCTTGTGCAGGAAGCGCGAACTGGAAGGCCTCATAGGAGAGGGAGCGGAAACTGTGGAGCCCATACTTGGTTCATTTGGTGGCTATTCCACTGACAACCTCAGTAACTTCTACTACCCCTACATCATTGTGCTGCTTATGATTTTCCGCGACGAGGTGAGTCACCGTTTACATGTTTACAGCAGTATAAAGGCCTGATGCCTAGCTCATGGCCACGTAGGTTCGATCGATATCCGTGACCCGCGTCGTTGCTCGTCTTCTTCACAATCCGCACAATTACAGCCTCTGCCCTACCTTGGAACATCTGTGCTGGCCAAGCTGAGCACACGCCTTCAGTGGTGACAGGTTGGCTACCGAAATACGGTCCATATTTGCGAAGTTAAGGACAAAGAACCCAGATAATAAACCTAAACGCGATAGCATAAGTATCGCATGTTATACGTGTACCCTTCTCTCACTTCGTCCTCGTGTTTTTGCTTCGAATGCTATTTTTTTCTTTCTACGACAGGTTGGGCTTCCATCCCTCTATGGCATTCAAGTGCAGGATATGGAGTACTACCTATCGTTTGCGCTCGTCATTATTTTTTTCCAGCTTTGCGTCGACGTTTTCATTCATGGCGTGCTGGAGCTCTTTCACGGCTGGAAGATCTACGACTACCTGGTGAGGAAGCTATGGCTCGTACCCCGTGCGTTTTCACTGCAGGCGAATTCCTGTGGTGAAGTTGTTTGGGATGCAATCTTGCTAACTCCCAATAAACCAACCGTCTCTTGTGTTTCGCTTGTAGGTGTACACTCGATACAGGTTTCTGCAACGGGAGACTCGATGGAAAGGACTCGAAGACAGCTTGGACGAGTGCATAGATGAGAGTATGCGCACCATGGATCAGGTACGTGCAAAATTAAGCGAACCAAGTAAGTTAATTCCTTCGCTTTGGCACGGATAGTGCTGTGACCAATATTCTCGCATATTTTGGAAACCGCGAAACCCTGACGATACCTCCCCACCTCCCGCTGTTGTACTCGTCCAACGTTCGTTTCATCCTTGTCTTGCTTGCCAGATGTGCTTCTCGTCTCAGTACTACATGATGATGACCGTGCACGTCAATGGCATTGTTTACTTCGTGCTGGGTGTGCAAATGATGATACGAAAGGTGTGCGAGACTATGTAACTTGTAGAGCTCCTTTTTGACCTGTTTGTCATTGCCCGAAGAAAGTGTTTGACCTCCGCTGCCAAGTTTGGTAAGTGACAGCAGGGAGAGCACTGTCCGAGAGTTGTCCCACCACCAGAGCGCTGGTGGGCAACGCTCGTTTTCGAAGCTTTTAAGAAAACTGATTGGTGCTATGTCCGCGGTGTGCGGTGTTTCAAGAGGGGCACAACGGCTTTTACAAACTTCCTTCGTCTATGTGTTATTTGCAGAGATACAACTTGTGGGGCGATCCGCTGCTCGTGATCATGATTCCCTTCGTGGTAGCAATTGCCTACCTGACCGGGTGGCTGCTTCTCTGGATAGCTCTGAAGGTGGGTGTTCGTGCTCAACGTATTGTTTTACGCGTCTGTTTCAAATAAGCCTGCTTTCATACCTTTACGCTGTACCTGATTCCGATCACGTAGTCTCTACAAAGCTTGGGATGGATAACAATGACGGTTGGCTTGGTTTGTATACCTGTTTGGACGTCGTTCTGCGCAGGTGAACATGTGGAAGATCAAACACGAGAATACCGCTTGGCACTCGAACGTGGATGATGACGACGACTTCGACATTCCAGACATGGATGACCTCAAGGGTGCCAGCCACGATGCGTACTTGATGAACCAGCGAATTACAAGCGAAACATTTCGCTACAAGTTTCTCAACTACAACCGCTCCTGGCTGGTGAACCAGCTCCCGTCCATGCTCACCCCTCGCACACTGAAGAGGAGCCGACCGTACCTCATCAACCAGTTCTCAAGAATTTTGAACCAGCTCAATCGGGATATTTCATCCGACAGTGAAGACGATTCCCCAGATTTTGGACCTGTCGCCCTCACGGCTACATCACGCAAGATTATACGATGGTGGCTGGCCAAAGCTAGAAAACAGGTGATGAATACCGTAGCGCACGATGATTTGCGTGCCCTTGTAAAGCAACCACGGTCGGTGAATGATGCTATCAACGCGTTTCGGTGGGACAAAAGTTTGTCCGTGCTAAATCCACTTTGTCGGTGCTTAAAACATTGTTAGTCCAGGAACTGGATATTCGATATCTGCAATGACGTAAAGCAACTTGCTCTTTGAAAATATGTAACCACGAGAACACCATCCCCAGTTGTAAGCCGCGTCGCAAAACACGTGAAATCACTGACGCAGGTAAAGCTTCGCGAAACAGTCCAACCACTGATCAACAAAGCACGGGGGACACATTGCGAGCAGTGCCTTTCAAAAAAGCAGCTGCAGGCCAAACTCGTGTTTGAACTGGAGGACTTGGCTGCTCAATTTGCAGCGGAACAGCCTGCGGACGAGTTCGACAAGGTGAAAAAGAAAATCAACAAACCTTTTGCACTGACGTTCCAGGTATCGCTCTCTAAACCGTGCTTGCAATACCTTCTCAATTACTTTCTGTTGGTCCAAACCCTCAGCGTGGTAGACAATTTTCCGCTGAGGATTTGCCAGTGCATCATGCGCATGCCTCACCGTGTCCACCGAGGAAGAACGGAAATGTTCTTCGGCGTGTAGGTTGAAATGTTGACACATGCTGATCACTGTTTTGAACAGTTGGGGTGCGCTCAAACAAAATTCTGTTTGAACTTCGCTCCACATGATAGGCTCCTACTTCCGTGTTTATGTGTGACGCGAACGGACGGTTATATCACGCACATATAACGATATGTGGTATGCAGCAAGTTTTCTTCTATTTGGTGTGCTGGCTGGGTGTATCTTGGACAATGATCCCGGTCGCCCCGTAGTCTAGCTGCTTTCCTCGCAACTTCTAGCGGCCAGGGCCATGGGTTCGAATCCCGGCGTAAGCGAGTTTTTGCTTAGAAATGAGGTTTCTCTCGCTTCCGTTCCTGGTAGTGGAAAAAGCACTAGTTCGTGTGTACACTTTGAGGGAAGAGGGTGCTGCACTCTTCTCGCATTATTAATCGAAGGATAACACCGCAAGAGGGGTGGAGGGAGAGGAACCCTTCTGTGTGACTGCGGATTGCAGCTCCTACCCGGTAGAAATGCTGTGAGCCGTGAGCGCCGATTTCAAGTGATGAACCAAAAACAAAATGGTCGTTGTTCGATACCCGCTGGCCCATGTCCAACTTGTTGAGGCCTATAGATGACCAGAAAGCTGAGATTTTTGTGCAATGAAAATGGTTTTGTCCGGGTCGTGAAGGTGGCGTGGAAGCGCTTCTGGATGCAGAATCAACGGTACGAGACCATTTGCTTACAGTGCATAAGCAAGAATAAGGAGAAGGCCCGGGATAGCTACGTTCATGGTGCCATGGAAGAAAGTGAGGACGACGGAGATCAAGGCGCATACCCCGACTGGGGACCAATATATCTCAGTGCTGCCTCCAAGGCGATCCTAATGAAGTGGTACCGACGGGCACAAGAGAATGTCTGGGGAAAAGCAGGACGAAAGAGGCCTCCGGTTCTAGTAGATATTTCCGACGATGAAGGCGAGGACATACCAGCAGATTGGGCAGTCGCGGAGGTGGTGCTGTCAGATGCGAGTAAAGCACTAGCCATCCGTTGGCTTCGCACAGCTCGGGCAAGGCTACAGCAACGAGGGGAAAAACGACGTACAGATTATTAAGTTCAGGGAATGTTTTCTCGCGATAATGGTTTGTTGCCTTCCTTTCGTCGAGCAGAAACTACAGGGTTCTATCGTGGGCAGTGACGGACACGCAATTAATAGAAAGGGCGGGCAGTGACAAGTAGGTGCGAGTGGGTGGTAGTCTTGTCACTGACAAACCCGCTTTTATGCATCCCGCACTATTACAATGTATAGGCCATTTAAAGTGCGGGTTGTGATCTGCCGAAGACTTTCTGCAGTGTATGTATCCGTCCAACCAGATGTTGCTATTTTCAACACTTGCAAAAGTAGAAGTGGTATTCAACGTGGGGATGTTTTCTCAGACACAGCCAAGGCGTTTGATTTTTGCTTGTCGAAGTAGGGTTGCCTGTTCCCGGCGACGGTCTACGGAAACCTCTTCTTTGTTTTGCTTCCCCGTCCCGTTTGTTGTATCTTTTGTTGCCACCTACGTGTACCAGTGTCGTATACCGATTTATCTATTCGTCGTTCCATTGGCCCCCATTTGTTGCGTGCCTCACGTCCATCGTTGTACTAGAAGTAAAACAATAGGGAAACTGTTGTGTGGCCTTAAAATAGGCATGCACTAGAGATTCAGATGTAGCCCTAGCGATCGCGAGAGGTGTTGCGCACAGTTGTTCGCTATGGGACAAACTGTCGCACGTGGTGGTCTCAATCAACCCGCACTGCTCGATCAGTTAATGAGAGATGACACGAAAGTCCGACGTCGCGGCAAAGGTCCGACGCGGGTGTTTTAAAAGAGTGCGTTTCCGAACAACCAACGTGGATGCAATCACCTCAGGGACAGCAATCCACTTATCTTACGAAATCCCTTGCGGCCATAGTTCCCTCCCGGGGCTGTCGGTTTCCACCGAAAACATTGTCACCCGCGGTTGTCGTGACGACTTTTTTAGGGGCTGCATACATTTTGTACTTTCGTGTATGACCCGAAAACGAAAGCGGACAACATGGCAATGTGTGGCCTTCCTTCCCCTGTGTGCCACCGCTCGACTGGGAAGTCCAACCATAACGAAAGGTGTCAAGAGTTTCGTCAGAATGACATGACAACACGCACACATCGTCTGCGATAATGAGAGCGCTAGCATACAGTCTACCTCAGGGGCAGACTGTTCGCTGTTGTTGACTGGAGACTCGTTTGTTCATCAAACCTCGGGCGTGAATAAATGAAGGAGTGAATGACCGAATTTATTTTTCAGTCCTTGCCACGCACGAAATCATTGAGATACTCCCGAACCCACCTATCAGTTGTACATGTTTGTGGGATTACACGCGTAGCGATCCCTGAAGACCCTGATGAAGACTCACTTGTTTATTAATCTCTTGGAACAGCAGTGCTTGCTGTTGCTTTGCTCTCAAAGGTAGACTGAGCACGGAGGGGGAGGACATGCTCCCTCTAAAAGGGGCCACAAAGGTCCTGTCCCCTGTTTTGTCCTTCCATCGGGAGTTACATCTCCCGCACTTTCTTCTGGGAATTACTCCGCAATACCGTTGGCACTGGCCGCATTCAAATCCCATAACACTAGCCCACCCTGGAGGTGCTCATACGCAGATACTTGAAACCTAGGAACTTGACAAATAATTGTCGAATCCCAAAAAATGAAAGGATCGAGGATGTGGAGCTCCAAAATACCAAGAATTACCCTCCCACACCTCTCACACGATGAGTCGCAAGACCATCGTTTGACCCAACCAAAAGTAACGAAAGAGAAGGAAAAGACGGGGGCTAAGAATGAAACAGGGGGACAATAGACACGACAATAGAAAACGTCAACGCTACAAATACCATAACAGGTCGGAACCCAAAGAAAGGAAGAAAACGCTTGAAAAACACCGTCGGAACGGCGAAAACCAACCGTATCGACAAAAAGATACAAAACACGAAGCAGTCGGTGTCGCCTAAACGACGAAAAGCGACGAAAATACTCACGGCATGCCCGTATAAGCTAACTAATCACAAAGAAAACCTAATGACGCCATAGGGCGACGTACGCAAAAAGGTAAGAAACCAATCGTTTCGACAGCGAAAACCAGGGGGCCATGACCCAACATAAGGTCCGACGAAATCAAACCGCCGCGGGGAGCCGAAAATAAAGCTCAACCACGCGAACGGCGAAAGAAGCAGAAAGGCAAAAAGGACTCGAAAGACAAGACGACGTACCAGGCGGAAACAAACCGATGGCCAGAATGACGGAGAAAAAGGGGTCGAAATACCACAACCAGGCCTAACACTCACTGCGCTATCCAGAGGCAACGACAGCCTACACGTACTTGCAAATGAGAAGACCGGACGAGATCAGGAGCGACCTCGAGCCCGCACTCAACCACGCGAACGGCGAAAGAAGCAGACAGGCAAAAAGGACTCGAAAGACAAGACGACGTACCAGGCGGAAACAAACCGATCGCCAGAATGACGGAGAAAAGGGGTCGAAATACCAAAACGAGGCCTAACACTCACTGCGCTATCCAGAGGCAACAACAGCCTACACGTACTTGCAAATGAGAGGACCGGACGAGATCAGGGGCGACCTCGAGCCCGCATCCATCTGGGATAGAACACACACGTCACACAGGTAGATCCCAAGACACACACACTTGCTAATCGGCGCGTGCCGGATCATTTGGCGGCGAATGCTCCGCCTCCACGTTTCGCGACATGTCGACATTGCGAAGAAGTCCTTTCATGAAGGCGCTACCGCTGTGAACTTGAAGGCACCACGAACCGCAGACGGCCGATCCGAGGGTAGAGTAACGAACAACGGAGACGGAGATGTTGACCGGTCCGGGGTCGTCGAGGAAGCGTACGATGTAGTGGTCGGCCCGTTCAGTCGGTCCAGAAATCTTGCCCAGCCACCAGAGTCCATCTTGAGCCTTGTACCAGAAGAACGCACCCACAGGCAGAGGAGTATCGGCGAAACGACGGTCCCAGGTTGAGCGGGAGACAAAGGAGTAACCCGGAGGCAAATATCTCTCGCCCTTAGCACGTGCCAATTCGCGTGCGGCTGCGCCAATACGCATTGCACGGTAACGGCGATTCGTCTGACGGTGTTGATCGGGCGTACCCGTCCAATACCAGAGAATCTGCGATCGAGAGTGCTGAAGGTCCATCTCACGCTCCCAAGAAGGGCGGAGAAGACCCCTCCAATGTGTCTGATACAGAACAGCGATAACACCACCACGACCGCGAACAGACTGGTGACCAGTAATTTGTTCCACCTCGAGACGTTCGACCGAAGTCGTAAAATCCTTTACTGCAGACACGCCAAATGTTGTGAGATTACACGCGTAGCGATCCCTGAAGACCCTGATGAAGACTCACTTGTTTATCATCTCTTGGAACAGCAGTGCTTGCTGTTGCTTTGCTCTCAAAGGTAGACTGAGCACAGAGGGGGAGGACATGCTCCCTCTAAAAGGCCACAAAGGTCCTGTCCCCGTTTTATCCTTCCATCGGGAGTTACATCTCCCGCACTTTCTTCTGGGAATTACTCCGCAATACCGTTGGCACTGGCTACATTCAAATCCCATAACATACATGAACCGTGCACGAGATGACGTCGTGCGCTGGTTGCAAGCACATACATACCACGTACCTTGCATGCCCCAAGTTTCCGGACGATACTGTGACTCAGTTTCTGCAAACACACATTGTTATCTGCTCAACAATCACTTTGCGACTTCCTACACTGATGCTACTCCTGTTGAATTCGCAGGCTTACTCGTACTGCTAAGGTATGGGAGTACAATACGCGCCACTACGAACAAGTCGGGAGTTCGTTCAGACAGTTTAGGCTTACCATCGGAACCATGAAACGCTGTCAGAATGCCTACAATTAATTGTACCTGCAATTCGATGGTGTGCTATCCTCTCAGAAAATAACCAAAGAGGCTCCAGCAAAACAAGATGTTCTTAGTTAAGGCAGCGGTTGGCTCCTCACAAAAAACAGAAGGTTGTACCTATAAAAAGAAACGCGTTTCGCTAAAAATAAACCACTTTGCACAAATAAATGCAGCTTCAACTTTTATGTGGAGTGGACCAAAATTCAACAGAGACACCACCTTTTAAAGAGTTTTTCGTGCGTAGATCGATAACTCGCTTCTGTTCATAGAGAGCGCTGCACACCTCTCGTATTGAAAATCGAAGGAAACACCGCAGGAGGAGTGGGTAGGGGGCCTTAGGGAAAGGAGAAACCTTCTGCATGACCACGGATAGGAGCTCTCTAGTTTCCCCGGCGTGCACATACGTATTGGCTCGTCAACCGTAAGAAGAGTGTTTGGTGGATGGAAGAAATCAATGTTTTTCCGGTCAAGACCTGATCATTTCTGCCTCGTCTCTGGTCGCTGCGCCTCTCCGTGAGCATCCATACCCAAATACACAACAACAATTATGTGAGACGGGTGATGCGATGCCTGGTGCGCTGCTAGGGGCGCGGGGTACGGACCAGAGAGCCCCCTTGGCTGATCTCCCAGGCACAGCCTCCCCAGGTGAGAGGGGGGAGGCCGAGCCACCAGACGCCCATAGCATACGGTAGACGGGAAGATGCGCATTTGTTCGTGTACCATTATTTTCTCTGGAGAATACGATCAAAGCCCCTAGCAGAGTCTGGTCTACCGGGCGGGGCGGGGGGGGGGTGTACTCATAGTCGTGCATGCCTTAGTCGTTAGACCATTAACTTCGCATCCTTACAAAGCCGGGACGGAGCACGCCGGGTTCTCACCGGACCAGGCTCTCACATCACCAAGCGCGAAGCCCCGTGAGGTATTCGGCGAGTCGCATGAAGGGTGAGCTGCATCGGAGGGGGGGCGTACTTTTATGTCTTGCGTTCCGCAGCGTTCCGACCACTTGACCACGCGTCCTCGAGAGGACGGAGCATTTTTTCCACAGGATCGATCACCGATGGCCCATCGTTCCTTCCTACTTTGCCACAGGTGGCTCAAAAATGATTTTCCTATCCTAGACTATCTATCCTATCGATGTCCCTTCCCAC